CCCCGCGCCCACTCCCCCGCCTCGCCCCTGCCCTCAGGAGGGCTCAGAGCATCCTCACCTGCGAGAGGCAGGACCTCACACCCGCTTGGGGCCCTAGCCCCGCCCCCGTGCCGCCTCTTCTGTGGAAGATCATCCGAGCGATCGAAACCCAAGTCAGGATGTAATGTGTTTTTAGATGGAGAAAGAAGTTTCCAAAATGATGTCTAATCTCAGTCTTGTCCAGGGAAAACAGAAGGAGGGAAGGACGGAGGGACATTTTTGGGAGGCTGCTGGGCGCCGGTGTTGCTACTGCTTTTATTTTCTTCTTTTTGTGGTTTTTTTCCAGGAACATAGGAGTTTAATAATGATTTAAAAACGGGATGTTTAATGGTCCGTAAAACGTTTGATGCCTATTGGGCATGTTTATACCTGGGCGTAGAAAAAAGACCAAGATGTGGGCGCCTGCCTCTGTGGGTGGCGCGTGTAACTCTTGATCTCAGGGTCCTGAGTTCGAGCCCCACGTCAGCCGTAGAGATTACTTAAAAAAAAAAAAAAAAAAAAGACGGAGAGGAAGTCAGCTGTAGCCCCGAACCCCTCAGGTGGAGGACCTCAGCCTGCGGTGTCCCCTGACATCCACCGGGCGCCTGAGGGGAGGGTCACCGGCCGGCCTGCTGGGGATTGGTCTCCGGGATTGGCCCCCCCCGCAAGTGATCCTTGGGGGCTCCTCTGCCCCAGGCTCATCTCTGAGAAGCAGCTTAAGAGGAGGGAGAAGCCGGAGTTCGACATTGCCGGGAACGTTCTGGAGCTGATTTACGGGCAGACCCTGACCTGGTAAGCGTCTTCTGCTCGCCTGCCGTTGCCGAGCCGCCCCCCTGCCCCCCGCGGAAGGCTGAGCCCCTTTCCCCCTTAGGCCTGCAGCAAGGCCCCGGCTTGGGGGTTCCGCAGTGACGTGGGCCCTGACCCCTCGCCTCTCAGGGCACGCAGCGTGCGGCCCCTCTCGCTGTGCCCTCCCCCAGCCTGGCCTTGGGGTGGGGCATCTCGTGACCCTGGGCCCTGCTGCTGTCGCTGTGGGGTGCAGCGTGACCCCACCTCTGGACTGCAGCCCCCACCCCTCCCTGCCTCCCCAGGCTGGGGGTCCTTTTCTCCCCTCTCCTCCCTGCCATCCAGATTGTCAAGCTGCTGCTTGTCTTCTATGTCAAGAAGGTAAGGGTCCGCCGGGCCCCCGGGAGGGCGGCAGGGCCTCAGGAGCCTGTGAGCCAGGCTGGGCCACGGGGTGGGCGGCCACGGGGCCTTGGGACCCTCCTGTCCTCTCCTGACTGCCGTCCCCCCAGCGTCACTGCCTTTCCCAGCTGGGCAGCATCGCGTCGGGGCCCGTGGTCATTGCTGGGTGTCTGGAGGTGCCGGCCGGCGGCTGAGAGCTGCTCGGAGCTACAGGCCCCTCCTGGGCCGAGGGCAGGGCCCCCTGCTCCTCTGTCCTTGGGTTGGGGTGTGCTCGGCGCCGGAGACCCAGCCTCTCCCTCTGGCCCTGTGTCCTCGTCTGTGTGACGGGACGGTGTCCGCAGGGGCCCGCTGGAGAGGACATTCCTGAAGCACCGGGCACGGCCATCAGAGGTGACTGTGTGCCCATCAGGTCCTCCGTATCTGGGATGGTGGACAGGCCACCCCTCGTGCGCCTCCGTAAACCGGCGTGGCAACCCGCAGGCTCACATTCTGAGCGTCTGCTCCCTGGGGGCGGGGAGCCCGTCCTGGCCTGGGGTGTCGCCCAGGGCCCCTCCGGGAAGCACGCCCCTCCCCCAAAGCTGTGGCCGTGGTGGCCGTGGCGGATCTCAGCCTTTGTCCCCAGACCAGCCTGATGGCCAACTGCCAGGCGCCCCGCCGGCCCTGGCTGGCTTCGCACATGAGCACCGTCTTCATCACCCTGCTCTGCTTCCCCTCCTTCCTGGGAGCCGCCATCTTCCTCTGCTTCGCTGTGTGGCGGTGAGTGGGCGCCCGGCCTCTGGGGCGGCATGTCCCCTGGGTGGGGGGCGGCGGCATGGGGTGACGTGGGGGTCGCCTTCGCCCTCTTCCCCCAGGGTGAAGCCCTCGAGCACCTGCGGCCCGTTCCGGAACCTGGACAGCATGTACGAGGCCGGCAAGGTGTGGGTGCGCCATCTGGAGGAGGCGGGCCCCAGGGTCTCCTGGCTGCCCTGGGTCCACCGGTACCTGGTGGAGAACACCTTCCCCGTCTACCTGGTGTCGGCCCTGCTGCTGTGAGTGCGGGCAGGTGGGCCCCGCAGGAGGACCGGCCCGGGTGGGGGCCCCAGCCTGTCGGTCCCCTGGCCTCCGGCGTGGAGCCCCTCCCGACCGCGCGGCTCCCAATCCCGCAGGGCGGTGATCTACCTCCACATCCAGGTGGTGAAGGGTCAGCGGAGGGTCATCTGCCTCCTCAAGGAGCAGATCAGCAACGTGAGTGCCCCGCCGCCCCCCGCCCGGCCGCCAGAGGCTCTGTTTGCCCCACAAATGACACCCGGCCCCGCGGGGGGGCTGTACAAAGCGGAGCGGGGATTAAGGCAGCGGCCGCCGTGGAGCACCCTCGGGGACAGGGCTTCCGGCGTTGGGCGGCGGGGGGGGAGGATCGTGGCTCCGGCAGAGAGAGGCGGCATTTTTGGGCGGGCGGCCCTGCGGGGCTGCGGTCTCTCTGAGGGTCTAGGAGGTACTGGAAATAGCCCTTGGACTTCTTGGGGGACCTGTGTCAGGACATGGACCCTGTTCATTGCCCTCATTTTCCAAACAAGTGGAGTAAGTTAAACGTGAGCCCGGATTTTCGTCTTTTGTATTAAGCATGTTCGGTTTGTCGTTAAGTGTGAGAGGCAGGGTGGGCCGAGATGCCCGGGGGCAGCTCCCTCCTGGGACCCCCACTGCACCGTCAGCCCCTGGGGATCCGCCGGCCCCGAGCTGCTCAAGCCCACCCGGAGGCGGCCCGGCCCGGCCCCGTGGACTGTGTCCCTCCTGCCCCGAGGGCGGCCCTTTCTCTGCTCGGCTGCTGGGCCTCACATCCGGTTAAAGGCCAGCGACCGTGGCATCTGGATCACTCGGGCTGGCATTTTCCCAGCTGGGGGACGCGTCCTGCCGGGGTCTGCTCAGCCGGACCTGCCAGCAACGGCGGGTCCCTGCATAGACGCTGGGTGGGCTTGGACCTCACCGTCACTCTCCCCGCGGCCGTTCCCCTTCCGCAGATTCTCACTGTCCCTTGGACGCTTGGGTCACTCTGGGGCCACTGTGCCGGTGGCCCGGCGTTCGCACAGGGCCGGGGGTTGTGCCTCCTCCGGGCGCGTACTGGGGGCCGGCCGCCTGGGACGCTGCCTTAGAAGGATTCGGGGATCAGGCGCGGGGTGTCAGCCAGGGCAGGACAGGGCTGGGGTGCGGTAGGCGTGGGCCCCTGCTGCTGGCTCACTGATGCAGGGCCCGGGCCCCAAGCGGGAAGGTCCCTTAGGGACAGCTCCCACCTCTTAGGGGGTTCAAGTAACACAATAGGAGGCCCCCGTCTCCTTCCCTTATACATATGGGCGTCTTGGCACGCCCACAGGGAGCACGGCGTAAGGCCAGGCATTTTGGCTGAGGCAGTCACCTGGCCACAGCTGGCGGAAGCAGGTCTTTGCCAGCTGGCTCCCGCCCGCCCTACTGTGCAGTGCACCAGGGCCTGGGGTACCTTCGGGGTCCCGGGGCGGGGGGAGATGGGGCTGGTAGATGCACAGCAGCGTTGGGAGGAGGATCCCAGCTCCACCTGCTAGTTCTCCGGGAGCGGAAAGGCCCTCCGGGCGCGGAAAGGCCCTCCGGGCGGGACTTTGCTGCAGACCGTGCCCACCTCCCCCCGCCCCCGAGGCCAAACCCTGTCCCAGTTGAAAGGTTTTGGGGCTGCAGGTCTGAGCTTGGCTAGGCCCCTGGAACGGCTTTTCCCGGGTCTGGGCAGGGGGGGCTTACTCAAGGGCACGGCCCTCTGCACCCACCAACACAGACGGAAGCAGCCTCGAGCCAAGGGCTGTGGGCAGATTCCAGAAGCTGGAGAAAGGAAGGAAGCATGCTCCCCAAGAGTCTCCAGAAGGAACCAGTTTGGCTGACACCTTGATCCTAGGCCCATTGAGAGCCGTTTTGGACTTATGATCTCCAGAACTGAAAGATGAATTTGTGTTCTCTTAAGCTGCCAAGTTGGTGGTAATTAGAACGACAGTGGAAGCTCACACAAGCCCCGTGCTGCAGACACCCTTATCTCCCGCTTACAGATGCTGACTCTGAGGTCAAAGAGGACGTAATTCGCCCAATACAGAGTCAGTAGGCCGCGGGGCCAGTTTTAAATTAAGTCAGGCTGGCTCTGTGGCCTTCACCGTGCCCCTGATCACATTTTCTTTTTTCGCCTCGGCCACTAGGAAGCTTAGATCCATCGATCGCCCGTTGCCTGGCTCTTGGTTTTTCCGTCCTCGTTTGGTGCCTCTTTCCCCTTTAAACTTTTTGTGCTTGTCTCATGGAATAGTCTGTTCTGGACAGACAGACAGATGGACAACTGTCCCCTCACCCTTTGTGTTCTGGCCTTTCTAGGAGGGGGAAGACAAAGTCTTTTTGATCAACAAGCTTCATTCCGTCTATGAGAGGAAAGAGAGGAGCAGGTGAGGGGCCTTGGAGGGGTTGGGCACCCGGTGTGTGAGTGTGGAGGGGAGGGGCCAGGGCCGGGCATCGTGCGGAGCTGGGGGGTGAGAAGGGAAGGGGTGCCGGCCTCCCCGGTTGCCCTCCTTCCCAGCTCTCCTGCTCAGGCGTGGTGAAGTCTGGTGAGAAAAGGAAACTAGAGAAGAAAGAAGTGCATGCAGGGGCAGGTCGAGCTGGGCGCTGTGGCACTTTCCTTTCTAAGTCGGGGTGCCCGGCAGCTGGCCCCTTCGGTCCCCAGGGGGTACACGCACCGGGCCAGGTGTGCAGTCCGAGGCCCCGGGGCTCATCCCTGGGCAGCAGGGACGCACAGACTGAGTCGTCCGACACCCCACGCCCCACCTACGGGCACATCGGAGGTCTGTCCAGCCCCTTTGAGGCTGTCCAGAGGTTTCTTTACCCTCTGGAGGCCTGAAGGCAGCTCCTGAGGAGGGCTGCTGGGCGTCTGGCTTCGGCCCGGCTGGAGGGACTACTCCTCAGCCTCCCACGTACCCTGAGGTCCCAGGGGCCCCTCACTGACTCCCCCTTCTGGCAGGGCTGGTAGAACCCAGGAGGCTGAGAGGCTCACGGATGATCCGGACGCCTGGTAGGACAGCGACAGGCCTTGCAGCTTTGTGTCTGCTCACAGGTGCGGCCTGTGCCTGGGTCGCCCTCTGTTTCCACAGCCCCGTAGGCACTGACGCCAGCCCGGGACTCAGCAGCCCATCAAGGCTGGAACTGGAGGGTGGGCAAGTGGGGGGGCACACCCAGTGGACTGTATCCTGCTTGGGACTCTATTTATTCTGATAAAACATGTTTTGCAAAATGAGCTTCTCCTGGGACTCTGTGCTTATAGCCGGGCCTGCCGAGCGCACGCACGCACTGCTGTGCGGTGTACCCTCACCGTGTAGACAACCTGTAGGCGGAGGGCGTGGGAACCGCCCCCCCGCCCCCCCCGCCCCGGAGTTCCTCTTTCTGGCTGAATGCTTCTCTTCTGCACTCGGCCCTCCAGTGCCCTCCGACGTGGGGTTAGGGGGCAGGGTTGGGGGGACGTCTGGCACTAAAGCGCAGGGTGCCCTCTGCTGGCTGAGCCCCAGATGGCAGGGTGGACCACGGCACAGCTTGCCGGTCGCCCCTGACCCGCCTGTGCCCAGGGAGCTTGCGCCCATGCAGGCGAGCCAGGCAGGCAGTGTCCAGGGCAACGAAGCCGTCAGTGGCGATGCTCAGTGGGTACCAGGCCAGTGGAAGGCAAATTTGGGGAGAGGCTGGTGGGGAAGAGCTCTCAGTTTCCAATGAGCCATGGGGAGAGGGGCGGCCAGCACCCAGGCCTGGGGCAGGACGGGGTCTGGCTGCCTGTGGTGGGTGATGGGGAGCCCCCAGATCTGCCAGGCGGTTTGAGGGTCCTGTGGGATGCCGTGAACCTGAGCGTACGGGAAGGAGGGGCTCAGCTGTCACAGCCCCAGCACCCCATGTCTGCAGGAGCTGGGGGAGTGGCCCCAGGTGGGAAAGCAGGATGAGAGTGCAGTGATGGGCCCCACCGCTCCTCATCCCACAGGGGGATCCAGAAGAACAAAGTTCGGGCCTGAGTGAGGCGGTGGGGAGGGCCAGGTCAAACCCGCAGTGGAGATACCCTAAGCAGAGAGACCCTCGGATGGGTCCACGCTTTCCTGGATGGTCTCACGGGGGTATTCCTGTTTGGCAGACGTGCAGGGGCAGGTGCCATCTGCTGATATGGCCTTGGAGGTTCACCGGGCAGGCGTCACCTAGACTTCTGTAGGTGGGGGACGGCGCCCTTGGTGCCCCCGACAGCTCAGGATTCCCGGGCTGGTCATGGCCAGTCCCCGACATGGTGCTTCGAGATCTCTGCAAAGAGCTCGTGCTAACCCCAGGCGGCCACTCTTGGCTGCATCTCGGGCGTGAGCGCCACGGGGTGAAGCTGGGTGGGAAGTCCGGAAGGCGTGAGGCTGGCCAAGGGCTCTCGGGGCCACGCCGCCCTTCCTGAGCCTCCCTCTGAATGGTCACAGATGCACTGTCCGGTGGCGGGGGGGGGCACGAACTGGCCGATTCCGGCTTGAGCTGGCACCACCACCCGTGTCACCTGCCTTGCAGCCCCTGGGAGGTAAAGACAAGCTGCCTGTGACAAGTGAGTCCTGTCACTCGGGCACTAACGCAGGTGCTGCTCTCAAGGCATTCGGTGCGTGTGTTGAATACGTACAACTGCTCGACTTGGAAGATCATCCCCAATAACGTGTGCAGGCCTCATCTTAACAGCAAAACCTAGGTTTTCTGAAGCAATTCTGCCCGAGGCTGCAGCCTCGCCTGCCCCGCCCCCGCGTGTGGCGTCTGTCTGCCTCCCGTCCTGTTCCTGATGCACGGGTGGCCCAGACCCTCTGGTTAGCGCATCTCGTCGTGTTCCTTCTGCGATGGAGCCCACGGGGGAGCGGGCCTGGATTCTGAGCCTTGTTAGCGGATGGCCTTGGGCGTGTTCCGTGACCCTGCCCAGCCCAGCCCAGCCCCTTACCTCAGGGGGTTGCTGGAGCACATGACGCAGCTCCTATACAGTGCCTGGTTCGCACCATGCTTGGCCCAGAAGTTTTGCTTCAAAAAAAAAAGAGGCGCCTGGGGGGCTCAGTCCGTTGAGCGTCCGACTCTTGATTTTGGCTCAGGTCATGATCTCAGGGTCATGGGATCCAGCCCCACGATGGGCTTCACGCTCGGCAGGCGTCTGCTTCTCTCTCTCTCTCTCTCTCTTCCCCTCCCCGTTGCACACAATCTCTGAAATAAATCTTTAAAACAAAGAAAAAGTGAGCTTTAAGTGCCAAACGAGGCTAACCAAACTCTTAGAAATTGCTATTCCAGGGCACAGGAGGTCGATAGAGCTATTTCAGGCCAATGACAAGATTCCTCCATGCCGCTGCTTCTCAGCCTTGGCTGCTCAATGGAACCGACTAGGGGCCCAGCCCCAGGGATTCTGCTTGCGTTGGTTTGGGAGGTGTCCTGGCACTGGGATTTTAAGTTTCCAGGTAGGGACGCCTGGGTGGCTCAGTCGTTAAGCGTCTGCCTTCGGATCAACTCATGATCCCAGGGTCCTGGGATCGAGCCCCGCATCGGGCTCCCTGCTCTGCGGAGAGCCTGCTTCTCCCTCTCCCACTCCCCCTGCTTGTGTTCCCTCTCTCGCTTTCTCTGTCAAATAAATAAATAAAAATCTTTAAAAAAAAAAAAAAAGTTTCCAGGTAAGTCTAACACGCAGCCGGGCTGAGGACCACTGCTCTGTGCTTTATGTAGCATCTGATCCAGGTCTCTTAAGCCCAGGGCAGTACTGCCCACTTAGGGGGCATCTGGAAATGCACTTCTGTCTTTCACAGCCGGGGCGCCAGACTGGGGGGGCCTGGCCTGGTCCTCAGGCTACTGGTCTGGCCACAGTCTCACAAGTAGAGCTTGTCAACTTTATTCCCACTGAGGCGTGATGTGCAGAGGTAGCAAATTAATGACTCTTTCGGGATTCCTATGTAGGTCTTCCCTGCTCCACTCCTGGGAAGAATCTTCTTGAAATGCCGGTTTCCATTTTCACTCCTGTCAGTGAGCATGTGCTCAGCCGCTCAGCTCGCCTTTGTCACTAGAACCGGTGTTAGCCCCGACGCCTCTTCTGGCCTCCTCGCTGTTCAGACAGCCCGTTCTCCGCATCTCCTGCTACGACTGACTGAGCACCCTGTCTTTGCCACTCTCCCACGGTGCCGTCACAACAGTTTTGTAAGAAGTGCAGCTCTGTACCTATTGTTTTCTTGATTCTAGACACGGAGCCTCCTTTGCTACTGTGGGTACCAGGATCCCTGCTCCCCAGCCCGGTGTCATGAGCAGTCACCCTAGATCTCGGTTTACCTGTGTCACCCACCCCCCGTCCCCTGCTTTCCCCAGGCTGGCAAAATCTGGTCGGCCTCCTGGGCCCAGGGCCACGCCACCTCCTGCAGGAAGTCCTCCCGGGGAGCAGGCACTCTCTCACAGTACACACAGGCACCTGCTCGGCAGAATGCTGGGTGCGCTTTGCCCACTTTGACTCCCATTCCTTGCTTTTCACTTCTCCCAACTGTGACCCCCTTCGGTGCTGTCCTTCGTGACTTTCCAAAGAGGTTGGGCAAAGCCAGGAGTTTGCCACCTCGCGCTAGGAGCCCTGGTCCTAGGTGGAAGGGGAGTGGAGACAGAAAGACACTCCTTCCGCTGGTCTCTGAGCAAGGGGTCACAGAGGACACGCTGGCCTGTCTCCCAGACACCGTCTTGACAGTCCTGGCCGTCAGAAGCACTGGTGCTCGCCGGACTGATTTAAGGTCATGGTGTCTGCAGTGGGCCTGAGACCCGCCCCCCCCCCCCCCAGTGTCGGCTCGGCTCTCTAGCTGCCACCAGAGAGGCCACGCTAAGCCACTGCCTTCGGCGCCCTGAGTTCTGCTCTGCGTGTGCAAAACGCTTCATGAAAGTCACCTTTCACCCGTTATTTTAGGCTACTTTACAAGAATAAATGAATAAAATGTCCAGGAAACACAAAAGGCCTTCATTACTCTCTTTGGTCCCATTATTTCTGAGGCCCAAACTGGGTCCCGGGTGACGGAGCCACGGTCCTCAGTGGGGGCACTCGGCCCGCGGGCCCTGGCTCCATCTCGGTTGCGAGGCAGTGGCAGCGGGCTCACGCTCTCCGCGACTGGCAGTAAGGTTTCAGAGTGAGCTGCAAAGCCACAAACCACAAGATAAAATTATAAGCCAAACAATAGACATTCAGAGTTCATCTCATCACCTAACGCAAACTCTAGGGGTATCTTGAAGAGTCAGGGAATTCGTTGCAAACAGAAGGACAGCTCTCTCCCCCAGCACATACAAAGTGAAAATCGATGATATCTCTGTGAAAAATAAAAAACACATTTATTTGAACAGCCAAGAAAAAAATTGCAATTTATTAAGATTCAACAAAGCGTTGTACTTTTGAAAGCAACTTTCGGTGCATGTTCTTCAACGATCACATTCTATGAGGAAAAAACATTAAAAGCCACAAACTTGTTTTTTAATCTCAGAGTTACAGACATCTTTAATTCAAAAGAAAAGGTCAAAAAAAAATCAACAAAAAACAAAAACAGAGTCTTTACTTCCATCCCCAATTTTAAAATATCAGTTTTTCTACAACTCGATGCTAAGCGGCAGCATGGGAAGCTGTCTGGTGCACACACACGCACACACGCACGCACGCACGCACGCACCTATATTTGATATACATACGTGAGCATATATACATCAAATATATAGAACGCATGTAATGGCAATGAGATGCTATTACTCTGAGGAAGGTTTGTTTAGCTAAATACACGACTCAACTTGAGAAAACAAGTCTTGAACCCAGTTTGTGCATAGTTCATGATCCTCTATAAAACCAGCTTTTGTTGAACTGCAATTTTGCAGGACCTTCTTTTTTTTTTGTTTTGTTTTTTGTTCTTTTTTTTGTTTTGTTTTGATAAAACCATTAAAAAGCTAATTAAAAAAAATGTAATGCACAAGTTTCCTGATCAAGCAGGCAGGGAGCACAATGTTCATATATTTTTAAACATACTTGAGGGTATGTTACTCCATTGTCTGTCTTTCTTGCAAAACAATCAAAACATTGATCATTTTTAAAACATAAAGCAATTTTTAATATATAAAGCACTCTTCAAACATCTATTTCTTTTGAGTCCGTTATTTGGTAAATATGTAACTGCTACACATTAGAGATTAGGTATTTTTCTTCTTTGTGTTTTTTTTTCCTTTTTTCTTTTTTTTCTTTATTTTTTTTGTTTGTTTTTTAATAACATCTTCAGTGCTAGGAGTTGGGTTACAAAATACATGAAATGGTGTGGAGCTGCCCCTCGGGAACCCTGGCTTTCCTGAGAGCGCATCCGCATGTGCAAGACAGTGACCACGACGTCTCGTCACCTCGACGAAGGGGGACAGTCGACAGCCCACAACGATGGCCGGAGGGAAGCGACGACACTGTTCAATCCCAGAGCTCTGAAGTAGCGTATCTGCATTCTGAAAATAGGTTTCTTTACCACGGAAGTCTCTTTTTTTTTCTTTTTTTTTAATTCCTTTTTAAAATTTTTTTTTATTTTAAAGTCTGAAGGAGAAAAAAAGGTCTGTAAACAGGTGGGAGCCCTGAGCACGGGCCCCTCCGAAAGCGGTCACCACCCACGTCCAAGTGCTTGTCTCTGTTCCTCCTGCGGAGTCGTCCGCTCTCCGCGAGGATCTATGGCCACAGTTCTGCAACAGTTGTCTTCTCTCTCACTTTCTATTCCACATGGAAACACGGTGCAATACTCTGGTAATATTTTCTTGCATTAGTCCCCAATAAAAAGCTGCTAAAGGTAGGTATACATATTATTTCTCCAGAGATATACACTGTAATCTTTAAACGCAGTAACAGAGTCCTTGAGTAAACATTTACACATGAATTGTCCCCAGCCCTGTCCTATGAATTCTCTTTCATGTATAGGGTTAGCAAAAGGAAGGGCAGGGACACTCAGTGCAAAGTTAGAAGCTAATAATAGTAACAAACATTTGACCAATGCGCCAAAAAAAAGCATATACTGAATAAAAGGGAAAACCCACAGTTAAATCCCTCACACACCGAACACACAAACACAGAAAGTGCGCACATGCGCACACACACACTTCTGTTTCCACACACACACACACACACACACACACTCACACACACATAGGCTGTGAACTCAGAAATGTTTCCTAGAGCCTGTTTCTGCGCACTGATGTCAGCCTGGAAGTGTAGAATTCGACGCGGCAAGTGTTCACATTTCCTTATTGGCCTGCTGGATTCAAGTATTTGCATGTTTGATATGTCTTTTTTTTTTTTTTAACTTTTAAAAAATATTTTTTGGGATAAAAAAAATGGCATGAAAAAGTAATGAAACAAGGGTAATGTGCATAGGCGGACCCGTGGGAGCAGAGAGCAGGCCGCAGGTCGCTGCCTCTGCACAGCTCGTCGGTCCCGGCCGCCAGGCCCGCCGCGTGGAGCCCGCACTCTGCGCCCAGTGATGGACACCAGCTCCCCCTGATTACGGGGTCCGCCTCTGGTAATGTGCATAAATCATCACAGGCTCGTTTTAAATAGGCTTTCTCGTCTCCCTCCCTCCCTCCCCCCTTGATAAAATAACCCTTTCCAGCCCACAATCTGAAAAGTGCCCTTCATGATAGAACTATTCTAAGCAGCTTTTATACTTAAAAAATCAAAACAACAACACACCATACAAACATAAGACAACACAAAATAAAAAGCTATGAGGAACATCCTGTCATTAGCATGTGACACTGACCAAGCGCAGCCCGCACTGTCTCGTGAACAGTTCACAAGGACTGCGGCCAGGGTTCGTCTTCAGTACTGGACAGAGGTACTCAAAGGGCTGCCGGGCTGCTCAGGTCAAGCGGGGTCCTCAGCGCCGCCCGGACTGGAAAGGGTCAGCCTTTTCTTCCTAGTGCTGATGATTGTGGCGCCCACGGGGTCCTCTCGGTCCTAGATGGATTCCCCACTGAGAAGGTCGCCGGGAAGCAGCGTGTTCAGTGGGGTGGGGCTTCCGATCACCCTGCCATCGTCACTGCTAGGTGGGCCCCACAGGCTGCTCGAGTACTGGGGGACCCCGCCCCACAGCAGGTCACTGCTCCCTTTGCCGGCCAGACACGGGGCGCTCCAGTGGCCAGTGTCGCTCCGCACCAGGCCGTGGGAGCTGCCCGAGGCGCCCAGCCGCGTCTGGCCAGTCCCGGTGCTGGACTGCCAGCCAGAGGTGGGCGGCAGCGCTTGGCCTTGGGCTAAGAAACGGTTCACCTCTTCTTCGCCCGCAAACTCGGCCAAGATGGTAGTGTTTCCCAGAACACACCTAAAAGAGCAGGATGGCAACAAAATTATGAGCTGGTTTTTTTGAAAGATAAAAAGTTTGACAGAGCTTCAGCTAGACTAAGAAGAAAACAGAAGACTCAAATAAATAAGATCAGAACTGAAAGAGGAGACACGACACCCTATACCACAGAAATACAGAGCGTCCTGAGAGACTTCTAGGAATGATTCTATACCTGCAAATTGGACAACCTAGAAGAAATGGACAAATCCCTAGAAACAGATGACCTACCAAGACTGAATCATGAAAAAACAGATAATCTAAACAGACCAATAACGAGTAAGGAGACTGAATCAGTGACCAAAAACCTCCCAGCACAGAAAAGCCCAGGACCACATGGTTTCACTGGTGAATTCTACCAAACATTTAAAAGAGAATTAACACCAATCGTTCTCAAACTCTTCAAAACACTGAAGAGGAGGAAACACTCCTGAACTCATTTTATGAGGCCCGTGTTATCCTGATACCAAAGCCAGATCAGGACACAAGACAACTATAGACCAATATCCCTGATTAACACAGACATAAACATTGTCAAGAAAATATTAAGCAAACTGAACACATGAAAAGGATTGTACGTTCACGATTAAGTGGGATTTATTCCTGAGATGCAAGGATGTTGAACAACATATGCAAATCACAAAGTGTGACACATCACATTGATGGGGGTGAAAGATCCAAGTCCTCTTGTCTCAGTAGATGCAGAAAGAGCACGTGACAAAACACAACGGCCTTTCATGATAAAGACCCTCCACAGACGGGACAGAAGGAACATGTCTCCGCGACAGAGAGGCCGTCTGTATATGACACACACACAGCTAACATCATACTCGACAGGGAGAGGTTGAAAGTGTTTTCTCTAAGGTCAGGAACAAGACAAGGATGCCTGCTCTTGCCATCTTTATTCCACACAGCACCGGAAGTCTTAGCCAGAGCGATCAAGCAAGACAAAGAAATGAAAGGCATCCAAATGGGAAAGAAGAAGTAAAATGATCACTATTTGCAAATGGTGTGATCTTATATAGAGAAAATCCTAAAGACTTAACCAAAAACATTGCTGGAAGTGATCAATGAGTTCAGTAAAGTTGCAGGATATACAACGCACATAATGAAGAACAGCTGCATTTCTATGTACTAACAATGGAATACTTGAAGAAGAAAAAAAGAAAAACATCTCATTCACGACAGCATTGAAAAACAAGAAAATACTTAGGGATAGATCTGACCAAGCAAGTGAAAACTTTGTGCAATGAAAACTAAACGACTTTAATGAAAGAAACCAAAGAAGATACAAATGCAAAGCTATCCAGACAACTCAAAGCCATCTATAGGTTCCATATAATCTCTATAAAAATTCCAATGGCATTCTTCACAGAAATTTATATGGAACCACAAAAGACTCCAAATAGCCCTAGCAATTCTGATAAAGAACAAAGCTGGAGGCATCACACTTGCTGATTTCAAACTATAATACAAAGCCATAGTATTCAAAACAGTACAGTTCTGGCGAAAAACCCCTGACACATAGACCAGTGGAACAGAATAGAGAGCCCAGAAATAGATCCCCATGTAGACAATTGATTTATATTTGACAAGGGCACCAAGAGCACTCAATGGGGAAAGGACAGTCTCTTTAACAAATGTGCTGGAAAAGCTGGAGAAACATGTGCAGAACAGTAACATGTGGATGCCTGTCTCCCACCACTCACAAAAGTTAACTTGAAATGGATTAAAGACTTAAACGTAAGATCTGGAACCATAAAACTCCTGAAAGAAAACGGGGAGAAAGTTCCTTGACATTGGTCTTGGCAATGATTTTTTGATGGGACACCAAAAGCACACGGCCGCCTGTCCGGCTCAGTTAGAAGAGCGTGCAACTCTTGATCTCGGGGTTGTGAGCTGGAATCCTGCGTTGTGTGTAGAGATTACTTAAATAAAGAAAACTTAAAATAAAAAGCACAAGCAATAAAAGAAAAAATCAATAAGTAGAACTACATCAAACTAAAAATCTTCTGCACAGCAAAGGAAACTATCAAAACAATGAAAGACAACCAACCTATGGAATGGAGAAAAATATTCACAAAGCATTTATTTCATAAGGGGTTAATATTCAGAATATATAGAGAATCATGTAATTCAATAACAACAACAAAAAAGGCCCAAACAACCTGATTAAAAGATGAGGACAGACATTTTTCCAAAGAAGACATACAGATGGCCAACAGGTATATGAAAGATGCTCAACATCACTCATCATCAGGGAAATACAAATCAAAACCCATTGAGATCTCACCTCACCCGTTAGAATGGCTAGAATCAAAAAGACAAAATATAACAAGTGTTGGGAGGATGTAGTAGAGAAGAGAACCCTTGCTCACTGCTGGCGGGAATGGGAGTTAGTTCAGCCACTCTGGAGGTTCCTCAGAGAATTAAAAATAGAACCACCGTGGGATCCAGCAATCCCACTGGTCCAGTGCCATCGCTGAGTACATCCACAGACCCATCTTAGCAAGAGCGTCCTGCAGCCAGTGCGGGGAGGTGGCTGGAAGACGGGTCACATGCCGGGTGCTACCTGGTGGGGAGGGCATCTTCCTTCCAGCTGTGCTTTACGTGCATGCTCTGAGGGGGGCTGTCCCTAGTGGGGGCATGGCCACGGCAACTTCACAGCAGAAGAAACAAGACGTGTCACGAGACACCTGCGCTGGCTTGAATCGTGGCCCTCCAAATCCCCACATGGAAGCTCCAGCCCCCCAGCACCCCGGCTGTGTCCGTTTTTGGAGATGGGTCTTTAAGGAGGTCATGAAAATAAAATGAGGTCATTAATGAACCCTAATCCACTTTGACCTGTGTCCTTCTGAGAAGGGGAAGTTAGGACACACACACACTCAGACTGAGAGGCGACCATGTGAGGACACAGGGAGAGGACAGTGCCTGCAGGCCAAGGACAGGAGCCCTGGAAGGAACCGACCCTGCCGACACCTTGGTGCTCCCACAGCACCCCGAACCCAGCGCTGCCAGGGCTACAGCGAGGGGGGCAGCCGATCGGCGGCCAGGAGACGTACATGTGCAGGGACTTCTGGGCCTTGGCGGCTTCCTCCTTGGAGCTGTAGCGGACCACGGCGTTGCCTTGAGTCAGGTTCAGGTGGAATGTGATGAGAGGCCCATGCTGCAAACACAATGTCCGCAGGGTAGAGCCGTCGATCTGATTGAGGAAGCAAAGAGGGTGGTAACGAACTTCCTGGGACTTCTTCCACGACATTCTTCAAAGAAAATGTCTATGACCCGGGTGTACTAACCACTGGGAAAAGGTCTGTCTTTAAAAAGGGCTTAGCATGTATGACTTTATGATTTTAACCTTTTATGCCTTGTCATTTATCATGTACTTTTTTTTTATTTTTAAAGATTTATTTGACAGAGAGAGACACGGCGAGAGAGGGAACACAAGCAGGGGGAGTGGGAGAGGGAGAAGCAGGCTTCCCATGGAGCAGGGAGCCCGATGCGGGGCTTGATCCCAGGACCCTAGGATCATGACCTGAGCCGAAGGCAGACACTTAACGACTGAGCCACCCAGGCGCCCCTACCATGTACTTTTTAATCCTGGCTGTTTCACTTATATTTCGTGAATTCTGTCAATCAGGAGAAAGAAAAGACCCCATTTTAGTTGTGGCCTCCTGCCCACCCAGCTGGGGCCCATGGTTCCTGGCAGCCCTATAGCCCCTGACCCCGGGAAAGGGGAGCACAGGACAAATTACTCTTGAGTGGGTATAATTTAAAGGCAAGCAACTCTGTTTAAAAGCCTCAAAAGAGTAAAAAGTGAGCAATTCCCCAGGAACGTGGGCATGTCTGCCTGCGGCTACCCCCGCTATCTCTGGGCCCCTGAGCGACGGCCCCCAGCAGAGGCTGGCATGCATTGGGGGTGGCAGGAACTGCTCTCGGTCAAGGACAGCGCCGGCCCGCTCGGTGACCCCCACGGCGGGCGCCTGTACCTGGGGCGTGAGGTTGCGGAGAACGAGCCAGCTGCTTGTCCGTCCTGAGGTGTCAGTGCTCCACGCGGAACCTGCACGAGCCGGGGGAAAGCCCCATCAGCACGGCCCCTGGAGGCTTCCTGCCCACACACGCGGCAGCACAGAGCGCCACTGCATGCTCTAAGCTTTCTCAACCTTTGAAAACCCACGTTCTCTTTTTGGTTTGATGAACACAGCCCCACAATTCCTGCAGACGCCCCTGGGCGGAGGACGGCAGAAGCTCCCACCTCCTCTGCCCCCACGCCCCTGAGAATCGATGTTCTAAGACGCTATGTGCTAACACAGCAGACCCACAGGGCTGCCATGACGGGCCCAGAGCAGTTTTCAAACGATTTGTAGCTGGTTCCAGTCTCAGCTTCTTAAACTCCCGGCGCATGTCTTCCACGGCCGCAGCTCGGCGGGGGCCCTGGTGGCGGCCAGCAGAGCTGCGGCGCCAGGATGCAGGCCCTGATTCACACGGGGGGCTTGGTTTGGGTTCTGGCCCAGAAAGCCCTTTGCTCCAGTGAAATGTTATGGGGAAGCAAATATCAAAGGCTGAAAGCGCCCTCTTGAAGGGCCCAGCGTGGCCCCTTGAAGGGTGCCGTGAGGGCCGAGACCACCTGCCTCAGGGCAGAGGCCAGAAACCATGGCAGCCGGAGCACTGGGCCCACACACTGCCAAGAGTCCAGGGCCCCTTGACCCCTCCTAGGCTCTCCTGGGTTCTAGGGGTGGGGGGAGCAGTTCTTACAGAAGAGCTAGAGGACAAGATGACAGGCACATTTATTCCCTAAAGGGCAAGCAGAGCAGGCCCCGAGCCCCCGCACTCCCCAACCTGCCCCACTCGTACACCAAAAGGGCGGATGCGTACCCGAGGAGTAAGAGCTGGTCCAGCCGAGGGGGCTGGCTCCCCAGGTGGAGGAAGGCTTGGGATTGGTTAACCCTGGAGGTGGTCTTGTGGGTGCAGTAGTGTTTCTGGGCACCTTCCACAGTTCATGAGACAGAGAGGCTTGCGTGTGGGAGGCAGGGCCAGAGGACCACGTCGATTTAATGTCTGACAGTTTACCTAGAAGGCAGGGAGAGCACAGGCATTCTTGAGACAGAGAAGAAAAGTCATTGCAGTGTTTGGGGAAGTGTACAAAGTGCTCTCCGGCACCAGCAGACTGCAGGATAAGAAAGAAACACCAAGTAAAGCACCCCCACACGAGGGTAAGTGCGCTCTCGAATTCTGGCCCAGAGACCACCTGCCTGTGCCCAGTGCCCAGTGCCCAAGGCCCAGTGCCCAGTGGAGGCCTGACCGGGACTTTTTTTTTAAAAGATTTTATTTATTTGACAGAGAGAGCACAAGCAGAGGGAGAGAGAGGGAGAAGCAGGTTCCCTGCTGAGCAAGGAGCCTGATGTGGGACTCAGTCCCAGGACCCTGGGATCATGACCTGGGCCGCAGGCAGCCGCTTAACCGACTGAGCCACCCAGGCGTCCCCTGACCGGGACTTCTGATGCTGAATTCGCTGACTGTGCCAGACCCAAGTCTGCCACCGAGAAAACAGCATTTCCGTAGTTTGAGGTTAAAACTAACTATCCAGATATTCTATTGGGACAAGCTTATAATGGAACACATTAATCGAGGTCAAAAGCCTAACATGTGTACATCCTTTCCACTATTTCTTTAGCTATCAGTACCTTTTCAAGGCAGCGCCCCCCGACAACCTGCAGCTTTGAGATGAGCCCGCCAGGCCGCATGACAGAGATGGACGTGTGTGGCCCAGCTGCCGGGGGCTGACCGTTCAGTATCTCAGTTCCTCCATTGTGGGGAGTGTTTGAAGGCTCGCTGGGAGGAGAAAACCAAATTGCTCCGAACCCCAGCTTCTCGTGCGCCCAGGGCTTGGTTGGGAGGTGCACACACCTGGACGTCTGCCAGGCCTGCCTCACCGGTCCACCACGACCAGGACAGGAAGTGCTAGAGGCGGAGTGGTGGCTGTCACGGTGTCCCTGGGTAGCACACAGCAACCAGACCCTGTGCAGAGCTCCCCCCTCCACCCCTAGCCGCCAGGACTTCAAACAAACAAACGAACGCTAATCTTAGCAAAGGTGTCATTGATCGGAAAAGCAAAAATGCCATAAAAACTGCCGGAGATACAGGGAAAATGATTTGATTCTGCCCCTTCTCTTTAGCTAAATGACTATGGAGGTAGTAAAGGTCTACATACATCTCCTCTGTAAACGTCAGGAAGAATAAACATTAGAAGAAGTGAAATAATCCAGAAGCTCTGTTTTCAATAAGATGCTAAACTATATGTTGAATCACTATATTTATACCTGAAACTGCATGGTAACAACACTGGGGTTAAAATAAAATAATAAATTGACTACAGAGTGGGGAAAAAAAAGGATGCTAAAATATATCAGAACGACTTTCTTCCCTAGGTACTGGTATTAAAGGAATTCCTAGGGCATCTTTACACCAGTTTAAAAGGTCTGGATGACAAGGTTTGAAGGAATACAGAAAACACTTGAAGAAATCTTTAAACAATAAACATTCCTTCTTTAAGATTTCTGTCTACTTACAAACCTGACACGTCTTGTTAGTGTCTGGGCCTGCATCTCTTTATATCCTTAACGTCTTAAAATTTTCAGGTTCAGATTCCCCTGAAGTTTTTATGACACACAATTCTCAATTCTCCTCTAAGCCTAAACGAAACGTCTAACTTCAAAAACTTCTAACAGTTTAGGGTAACGGAGAAATAACCCAGGTGGGAAACGGCCACATTTTCTGGGACCTACTCTTGTCTCCCCCATCGACTTCCCAGCAGGGGCCGCCTGCACGGTCTGAAGGCCTGTGTCCCCCTCACGCCTCCTCATGCTGTAGCCACAGGGGAGGGGAGGGGAGGGGAGCAGGTCTGTGTGGGCAGCAGGCGTGCCCCGTCCTACAGCCACGCGCCCTTCGCGACAGCCCCGCAGAGGCCATGTTCCCATTCCCGCTGCACTTGGCAGGGGGGCGAGGTGCCTGGGCCCCCTCTCCGTCACACCACGTGGCCCCCCACCCCCCCAGCTGCGGGGTGAGCGGGTGGACATCAGGAGAAGCCAGTGCATACCTGCAATGCTGGGCGCGGGCGCGATGCTGCTGAAGGAGCGAGCGTAGCCGGAGGCACTGAGCGGCCAGGCACTCGAGGAAGGCAGCGCGGCACTCTGAGATGTCGGGGGGGAGGACCCTGCAGAGGCAGACACGGTGCTGGAACAGTGCCACCCGCCAAGAGGAAGGCTCCGCTGAAGGGGCCGGGGCTGCCCATACAGGCATGACATGGCCAGGGCCATGACCAGGGTGGACAGCCGCCCGGATCCCAGGGCCCAGGAGGCGGAGGCCAGGAGGCAGCGGCAGCCTCTCAGAGGCAGGGCCTCCACGCTCGAGGGAAGGGGATCAGCGGCAGAATGCCAAGAACGCCAGCCAGAGTGTGAACCGATCGCACGGCCTCCCTCCCACGTAGGCTAAAACTCACAGTACAGGGCACTCTCCATCTTTTCACACCTCAAACAATATCCACAAAGTTAAAAACCAAGCTTTTTGTTGTACATTTTACCGTAGAAAGACCAGCACTTCGTTCTGACTCAAAATGTCTCAGGTGTCCACTAGCTCTTGGTCCGAGCCTCTCCCTTGTGACACGGGCATGAGGCAGAGCCCCGTATGGGGAGCTGGAGGACTGTACCCCCAACTGCAGTCCCCTCCTGTGAAAATATCTGCTCATGCACCTGGGAGGGAGGTGGGGGCGGGGGGGGTGGTGGCTGCCCCTGTGCAGCTCCCTGCTGTCTGGTGGCTCTGGGTCACCCTCCCCCAGGCTTCTCTGAGGAGAGCAGGAAGCTGGGGAACGAGAAGGGTGAAGCAGTGCTGGCAGTTCAGGTTAGAGCCAGACAGAATCAGAGCTCCTCCGATTCAGAAAGTTACTCCACTGGTGTGTGGAAGCTGGTGGGGCGGGAACATGACGTGTAAAGTAAGTATGACAGTCTGCTTGTCATATTTACTTCCATAAACAGAATCTCACAAGACATGGAAGCCAGATGCAGGGCCCCACCTGGGCTGGTGCACCGGACAACCTCAGGGGTACCCTTCACAGAGACTACCAGGCAATGGGGCACCTCTCAGACTTGTGCAGTGTGCAACCTGCACAGCTGTCTACAACTGGCCTACTGTGACTGACCTCCTAAGAATGAGGGCACAAGAACTCATGAACATTACAAATGATTTGTAATCTGCAGGTCCACAATCTAAAAGAAAACCAGTCCTACTGATATCCTAAGCTTATGTTCCAAACTCTCCTCTTTCATTTACCAACAAAATGTCATCAACCCAAGATCCCAAGATTACATACTATTTAATCCTCTTCGGTATTTCTTTTATAATTTCACAATAGAGTGCTTAGATTTTAACAGTGTTCTACTTTTGAAATTTTTAATAGTGGAATTTGTCCCATGAAATTATAGCTTATTTTCCTTTCTGGATGAAATGTTAGTATCAATATGCTATGAAACGGCATGACTGTACTTCACCATCCTAGTTACTGTTCATTCTGTACGGATTAAAGCTATACCAACTGAAGGTTGCTGGAGTGGTGGGGGGTGGGAGGGATGGGGTGGCTGGGTGACAGACGCTGGGGAGGGTATGTGCTATGGTGAGCGCTGGGAATTGCATAAGACTGTTGAATCACAGACCGGTACCTCTGAAACAAATAATACATTATATGTTAAAAAAAAAAAAGATAGCAGGAGGGGAAGAATGAAGGAGGGAAAATCAGAGGGGGAGACGAACCATGAGAGACTATGGACTCTGAAAAACAAACTGAGGGTTCTAGAGGGGAGGGGGGGGGGAGGATGGGTTAGCCTGGTGATGGGTATTAAAGAGGGCACGTTCTGCGTGGAGCACTGGGTGTTATGCACAAACAATGAATCATGGAACACTACATCAAAAACTAATGATGTAATGTATGGTGATTAACATAACATAATTAAAAAAAATAATTCGAAAAAAAAAGTGAATTAGTGAACCCTAATGTAAAAAAAAAAAAAAAGCTATCCCTACCATCTGTATACTGTAAATATGTAAACTTTAATATCAAATCAGAATTTAATGTCAATGGCAGTAAATGAAAAACAAAAATGTAAATTAAAAAGCAACACCTAGGTATAATTGATACTCAACAGAAAAAAGAGAACTGCATTTTGAAAATACGTAAAATAAATAAGCCAAAACCAAAAGGTTAACAGCTCTTCTCCCTGTTTCTAGGGCACGTTTTCTTAATTTTCTTCTCTACTTTAGGTCAAGCTGTTTAGTCAAGACTAGGGTAGCTGGGGGCGCCTGGCTGGCTCAGTCGGGGGAGCGAGTAACTCTCGATCTCGGGGTTGTGGATCCAAGCCCCATGATGGGTACAGAGATGACTTAAAAATTAAAAAAAAAAACTGGGGCGCCTGGCTGGCTCAGACCGGGGAGCATGTGACTCTCGATCTCCGGGTCGAGTTAAAGCCCCACGTTGGGTGTGGAGCCTACTTCAAAACAACAACAACAACAACAACAACAACAAAAACTATAAAAAAAAATATAAAAAATATAAAAATATAAAAAAAAATATGATGGCTTTTGTGGCTCGGTCCCTGAGCAAGGTCAGCCAAAGGGGCTGCCTAGAAGCTCCTGGCGTGTGGGGAGCAGCACGTCACGCTCTGGAGAGAGGCAGTGGGCAAGGTCCGGCCTCTGCAGCTCAGCTGAGCTGGGGCAGTGACATTATCATGTCCCCGGTTCTACAGAAAGAGAAGTTCTCTATGCTCCCCTTCTCCCAAATAACAAACCACAAGGCCACAGGAGCAGAGGAGCAAGGTTCTCCAGGGCGTGCAGGAGGGCCCAAGGGAGCTGCCCAAGACTGGCCCCTGACCGCCCCCAGAAGTCACACGACATCACCCAGGCTGGATGGCTGCTTGCCCCTTTACTCTGGAGCCGGAGACCCCACTTTCTCATCTGGTCCTGACACCAGTGCCTCTTGTCACTTCCAGATGCTCTTCTGCCTGTCTCTGCCTCAGCCACTCTGGACGGGAGGACAGCTGCTGGGCCCTGCCTGCAGAATTCACCTCCTTCTCAGGGACGCCTTCGTCACGTCACGGCACACTCGCGCAAATGTGGAGGTCACCCGCAATGCTCCAGGGGCCACTTGGAGGCCAGGGGACCACTGGAGGACCCATGGGGCACTGGCGGGAAGCTCTGTGCGACACTGAGCAACCTCGACACTTTCCGAGGTCTCTCAATACCCAGGTCAGTGCTGCCCTTTCACACCTGCCCACAAGCCTCAGAATCCACTGATGGATGGTCCTGCCGGGACACAACCCTCCTGCCACACTCAGGGCGAAGAGCACTGAGGGCGGAGTCTGACTTCTGGCCGGTGCCTCACGCTGTCCCCTGCCCTCTCACACAGGCCCCACTTCCTGTCCTCGGTACCACTGTTCTGTCCCTGACGGCATGGCCGCTCCAGGAAGCGGCTGCATCGAAACACGAGGAATGCACAGCATTGAACAGGATGAGCCATACCTCTGCTGGTTTTCTACCAAACCACAGGAACACCTAGAAGCCCATCACTTTTTAAAGAACCACTAAAGAACTGCATCTCTCCCCCAGTCTTGCTTTAAGCGGGAAACCTGAATGCACATTCTGGGACTACCTGAGTGGCCTTACTGGGACGAGCGTCCGCGGCCGCCCTGCTATTCCTTCCCTCTACTGGAACATCGGCGCTGCCACCGTATCAGTGCCGGCCCGTCCAGAGCTGCTCCATCTGCCCCTCTCAGAGTCACGCCTGAGGGCCGCATGGAGGCTTCCAACAGCACAGCCAGCTCCTCACTGCCTCCTCCTGGATCCTCAAGTCTGACGTAGGGTATGCCCAAATCTAGCACCCTGAGCTGTGCCAGGAACGGACTTCAGTCTTTTTACCAGACTTTGTGGAAGGACAGACCGAGATGGAGGAGGAAGGGGTTGATTCACCTGCAGTTTAAATAGATTTTAAGTGGGAACTTATTCACTGGGAAGCTTAATGGTTAATACTGGGATCTTATAACACAGTGATCAGAAATAATGTGTTAATAAATCCAGGAAATCCACTTCCATTTTCACCATCACCACTACCTCCAGATGGTGAGAAATGCCCGTAGATGTGTCTCACAGTGTCCTTGCCCTGCGGCCCGCACACCACCCCGGAGCCCCCGAATGCACGCGGGGAGGCCTTCCATGTCGAGCAGGTAGCACCCCGTTCTCCTCACCTCCACTCTTGAGGAGGTAGCGGTTGACGTCCTGTATGGTGGTATTGATGGTGGGCCCGGTGGGGACACTTCCAGGAGTGACATCGGGGTCGTTCTCAGGGTCTATATTCTGAAGTCCTTTCCATGGAACTCCAGGATGGAATTCTGGAAAATGCCAAACAAAATGGAAAACAAAACATGAATATTACAGTATCTTTACATCCCTTCAGGATAATTTATGGAAATTCTTATAATCTGCTAGTTAAAATAGGAGACACATCCTAGACTTTCAGTAAATCATCAATCCTCTGGAACAAGCTAGAAGCAGGGATTACAGCTGCCACGTTAAGACAGCGTTCAGACGGTGTGGAGTCTAGAAACAGTCTGGCCAGATGCAATACAGCGTCCCTTCTCCTTCCACTCCTCTCACTGAACTAAGGGACTACAGGAAAGCGCTGGGTGCTAACCACTTCCCAAATTCGTGTGACAAACGGATTTCCAATGGAAAAGACAAAGCTATGGGGTTCACGCTTCCAGGACTCTCAGCTCAGATCCTGGCTTCTCTGGACCAGAATCTCTGTCCTCAGGCTTGGGGCAGCTCTGATCGGCCGCCACATGAAGTGTCGCAAGCTCTTACCTGGGGGCCAGTTGATGCTGGAGCCATTGGAGATTTTATCACTGTCAGACTTGGCACGTGACCAGCTATGGGGAACCGCTACAGGAGGACTGGCTGGTGACTCACTGTTCTGGATTAAATCGTACCGGCCGTAGGAGTCGTCGATGGAGGACTTAGCTGGAGGCCCAATGCTTAGACCTCCAGGGATAGCACCTGTGGGGACAGCAGGTGACAAAGAGCTGAGTGAACAGGGGAGCCCCTGAGCCCTCACTGCTAGGCACCGGGCCCTGCCCCTTTCAGAGGTAAAGGAACCATCAGACTTGGTTTGTCCTGCACTCTCTAAGGATAAGTAACTATTTTGGTTAGCCCAAACTTCGTCTGTGGAAGACCAAAATCCTTTTTATTCTTTAAAGATTTTATTTTTAAATGATCTCTACCCCAACGTGGGGCTCAAACTCACAACCGTGAGACCCAGAGTCGCACACTCAACTGAGCCAGCAAGGGGCCCCAAAACCAAAACTCCTTAAGAACCATTTTAGTTTGTCAAGTTGGAAATCTTGATAAAACACAAACCCATACCATTGAAAGCGGGCCTGTACCTTTCTGGGACCAGCTTATGAGTCTCTGTGCTTAGCGATGGACTCTGTGGTTGTGTGTGTCCTGCCCTCCCTCTGGAAGGACATACTGGGCGTGTGAACGCAGGGCCCTTATCTTCTAGACTAGACCGCCTGGCCAGGGGCGGCCGCGCTCTCCTGCCAAGGAAGTGCCCAGGCAGCCTGTGATGATTCTCTTGTAGAATTAACTGTTAGGAAAAACTGTGTTTTTCCTTTTAGGGTATTTACACCAAGAGAGAATCATACACCTATTACATTTTCTCTACCATTTATGCTATCAGGAAACTGGGAGCTAAAGTTAATGCTTACTAGTGAGGTCACTGCGTCTGGTTATTAGCACTTTTGCTTCTTCCTTTTTTCAAAGCATCTGATTTTCTATTGTGTTTTAGCATTTTATTGAAAAAAATTTCTTCTCAGTAAACAAATTTTTTTGTTGAAGAATACAGATATATATATAAAAAATATGTAGCTATGACCAATATTCTTTGCTGCTCTGGGGCGTTTTCAACTCCTTCTGGGTTTGTAGCAAAGATCTGGAGGCTGAGGTTTCAGGAAGTTTGACCGCGCACTAGCTGGGATCTTACACATTCTGTGATGGAACAGAAGATTCCATTCTAATGGAATTCTTAGACAAGAGATGCAGTGTGAGTAATAAAAGGAGCATGCTCTACAACCAGTCAGCGAGTGGAACAGGAGCGACTGGACCCCAGGCACCCCGGCTTGGACGTACCATGCTTGCTGGGGTTCTGATCGAGGGGAGAAGCAGCACCGGGTAAGTTGTCCATCGGGTTGGGGTGTGTCCACTGAGGGAGGCGTGACTGGGACTGAGATGGGTCCTTCACTGACAAACCACCAGTCATGTCCATGCTGTTGACATTCATGTTTGGGTTCAGTCCAGCTAAAAATACAAATGCTATTAGGATATGCCTGCTCTTCTTCTAAATTTTACTACATCCTAAAGCTCTCCTGGAGAATCAATCCAAGTCTTAACTCATGGCCACATACTTAACTCTAACTTTTAATGCTGGTAGAAAGAAAAGCTTATTGTGTTTTTAACAACACATATTTCCAGGAATATTATTCCCGAATTAAGCTGAAATGGTAATGAATATTCTCTGGTTAAGTAAGACCAATGACTCTCTTCATTTCACTTGTTTCAGAGCTAAACACGGTCCTGGTGCTCCTCAGAACCCACAGAAAGACAGGGCAAGTCCAGACAATGAGGAAAATCTTTTCTGATCTTAGGATATCTTAGGGAAACTCAGCAGATCAGGACAACTCCTTCAGAGTTCTAGACAGCGTTCTAAAGTACCAGAACAGGCTGGTAGGGATAATTGCATTCCACCTTTACTGAACTTACTTTACAAAAGTCTGCTCTTCAGGAGTTTATAAATATCAGACTCCTTTTAAGGACTTGACCTATTGGAGGGCGTGGCAGGGCTGCCATCTGCCATCTGCCCCCGGCTGGAACGGCGTGCCAATCCTGGGTTTTGTTTCTTACAGCTAAAAGCACGTGCTGCCGTTATCTGGCAACACCGTGTCAGGTTACTAAAGAGGGGCGAGGAGGACGATATAGAGTCCCCGGTGGGGACTGAATGCTCGGTGATGGAGAATAACCCCAGGATTCACAGACCATACATCCTGGTACGTCAGTCAAAGTGCATCTCTACTTGTAAGCGAGGTATTGAACAGGTTTGTTCTTGGCTTTAAATCCGTGTCTGCAAACTCAAATGACTACATGGGCCAAGCAGCTGTGAAGTGGGCCCAGTGGGGATGGTGGCAAACCCGACGGTGTTTGTCCCACCCGGAGTGCCAGCTGCTGGTGCCAGCCTGTGACAGCCACAGGGAAGGCAGACCCCACGGAGCCATTTTAAGAGAAGCCAGAAGTTACTTTTATTTAAAAATTTCCAATTTGTAAATGTTGGTAATTAACACACACACACACACACACACACTTTGCAGACGAAACACACCACCTGAGCAGGTCAGATGCCGCCAGCGGCGTCTGTGTGCGGTTGGCATGGATGGCAACCTCCACTTCCATTTGCACACATGTAGTTGGGTGAGGGGACAGTGAGGCCGGGCTCCAGCCTGGCCTTCCAAGTGTTGGGCCTGAACCGATCTCCCCAGCTTGCCCGCTCATTTGTGGACACCCGCCACAAGTTAGCATGACTGCCCAGGCCACGCCCTGTCCTGCCAGGCTCTGGTCACTGAAGTCCTGCTCATCTGAGATCCATGCTTGGCCCCTGCTCTGGGTTTTTCTTTCACCATTCATGGTGAACACCAGCTCTCCCTTCTCTGCAGCACTGCCTATGAAGGCTGTTTTTCATTATTCTATGCCTGATCTTCCCGTGTGGATGACAAATTCCAGCAGTTAAGAAATAGCAGAGTAAGGAGACGCTGAGTGGGAAGGAAGGTGGACGGAGCTACAACCATTGAAGAAAAATGCCAAGAACCAAGGAGAGAGGCAATTTTATAGGCTAAGTTTCTTATACTGGATCAGCTATTTTTTTTTCTTTTTAAAGGTTTTTATTTATTTGTCAGAGAGAGAGAGCGCACAATCAGGGGGAGCAGCAGAGGGAGAAGCAGACTCCCCGCTGAGCAAGGTACCCGACGTGGGGCCGATCCCAGGACCCGTGATCATGACCTGAGCTGAAGGCAGATACTTAACTGACTGAGCCACCCAGGCGCCCCTGATTAGCTATTTTTCTTTCTTTTTTTCTTAAGATTTTATTTTTTAAGTAATCTTTACACTCAATGTGGGGCTTGAACTCATGACCCCGAGATAAAGAGTCACATGCTCTACCGACTGAGCCAGCCACGTGTCCCACTATTTATTTTCAGTAAGTTTGTAAGTTTAATGTGAATATTATAAAATGTTATCAAAATTATTTTTCATCTAATTTTGAAGAGCCACTGTACTAATTTTTTCATTTGTATTAAGAAAAAAAATCTTTAAGAATAAAGATTAGTGTACTTTACTCTCCAAAAATAGGTTGAGAGGCCAGATAGACACTAGCAAGCTGAAGCGGAAGCTTTTCCGGGTAACAGACAATGGAACCGGTTTCTGAAAGGACTCCTAAACAAGACGTGCTTGTGTCTGGCTCACGTCTCACAAAGGGCTTGCTGCATGGAGCACTGTCCTGATTATCTCACTTAATCTTTAAAGGACTCCATGAGGTAGTATCCCCACTTTAAATGGGGAATTGAGGCAGAGACAGTCGGGCAAGTCATGCAAGGAAGTGCTGAGCCAGCCCTGGTGGAGCTAGGCCTCGGCGTGGCGGGTCACCTCTCCAGCCAGGCCTCGGCCACCAGGCTGTCCTCCGTGCACATAAAGGGCTGTGAGCACGGGGCAATGAGAAAGGGATGGGATGATCACAGTTAGCATTCATCAGGTTCATATTAAGGACATACCGTAAGGATTGCATTTGAAGGAGAACATGCTCGTACGGTTAGGATTTACGGCTCTTTTCAGGGCAGTATTAAGGAAAGGGACACCATCAGCCAGCAGCAAACTCACTATCATGCATCTGACCTTTGCTCCTGACATGTATTTCCTGGGTTACTGGTTCCCTTTGTCCTAGAGACTCACCCTAACAGCCACCTGGCAGACAAGCCTGAGAGCGGTCACCAGGTTCTGGATTCTTACATCAAACCGTTTCATGTATAATCCATTTACTGACATATACCTTCCCGGGACACTTCCTCGATCCTGCCTGCAGTTACGTTAACCTACGCCTCTCCTGGCTGGCTTGTAGGACCTGGAGGGTGGCACCGTGTCTTCTGCCGACCTGCAGATTTCATGTGCTGAGCATGCTTCCTACAGGTTAGGGGTCAACACATGCATGTTGATTTGGCGGATTATAAACCATCTTCTACACTACAAGGCTTATATGGACAACCACTGCTTTCCAAGAAGTACCTGATTTTTAAAAATCTAAACACCTTTACTAGTAAAACCATTATAAACTCATCCCTGCAGTTAGGTGGGGGATGGTGGCTGCTAAAGAGCAGGAAACCAGGAACAGAACAAACCTATTTGACAACAGAAATGAGGGAATTCTGGGGCTCTCGCTGGTGCTCCTTTAAAAGATTTTATACTAGAAGGTATTTATGGCCATAGCAGAATTTCGCTCTGCAGAAGACAGCCAGTGGTGCTCCCTTACCAGGAAGCCCTGGGAGAGAGTGCCGGCCCGCACTGCGGGGACTCACCGAGAGGGTAAGGAGCAAAGGTGCTGGGTGAAGACTGTGGCTCTTTGGTCTGCAGGTCGGGCAGGCCGGGGGCCTGGGGGTGGGGGGGGAAGCTGTCCATGGCCGATTTGCCTGCAGAGGGGTGCAGAGACAGGTGCGGCGGGGGCGGCGGCGGCTTCACAAGCAGGGCCTGGGCCAGCTGGCGCTGGTGCTGCTGGATCTGCTGCTGCAGGTTAGTGATTGTGCGCGCAACCTGGCGGCAGAGATGCGAGTTGGAAAAGGTTTGAGAGTGGCGCACGTCACTTGTCTCCAGACCCAGGGCATTCAGTCTCTGCTGGGTGGACCCACCTGCTCCCAAACCAAGGTGACGCCGAGACTGCTAAAAGGGAGGTGGGGTTAGCTAGAGAAAAGTCAATGACAACGTAACAGTTTGCCATTTAGCAACTTCAGATCAGGCAAGATGGGCCCTAGCGAGTCCAGCTACACCCCCCAGGCGATACCTACTTGCTGCTCCTGTTGTCTCATGGGTCCGGAAACATTACGCTGAGCCTGTAGCATCTGCTGCTGGATTTGTAAACGTTGGTATGCCTGTTGACAGAAAACAGTTAAAATACTGTAAGAAAGCCATCAACAAATGGTTCAACTACTGTATAGTAAAAAAAAGAAAGGGAGAGAGAAAACAGCCAAGATTCTTGGTCCCCTTACCATACTATGGTTTAAGCATACTGTGAGGTAGAAGCATTTTTAAAAGGAGAAATGTCTTTCCCAAACCCTTCTAGTGCGTAGATTTTTTTTTTAAGATTTATTTTTTTGAGAGAGAGAGGCACAGTGAAACAGGGAACACAAGCAGGGGGAGAGGGAGAGGGAGAGGGAGAAGCAGGCTTCCTGAGGAGCAGGAAGCCTGACATGGGGCTCGATCCCAGGAGCCTGGGATCATGACCCGAGCCGAAGGCAGATGCTTAACGACTGAGCCACCCAGGCGCCCCTAGAGCATAGATTTTTATTTTTATTTTTCTTAAAGATTTTATTTATTTATTTGAGAGAGAGAGAATGAGAGAGAGAGAGCACGAGAGGGAAGAGGGTCAGAGGGAGAAGCAGACTCCCCGCTGAGCAGGGAGCCCGATGTGGGACTCGATCCTGGGACTCCAGGATCATGACCTGAGCCGAAGGCAGTCGCTTAACCAACTGAGCCACCCAGGCGCCCGTGCATAGATTTTTAAAAACTAATTCAGTCAGTACCCTTTAGTGTAGGTAATGAGATTTGTCAGCAAATAATTTTCAGTTAACGAAGAGATCAAAATTCTTCTGCTCAAATCTTACAAACTAAAAGTAAAAAGAAATGATGGGAAAATGAAAAACTACTGATTCTTACAGTGATATAGATGAAAGTTGTCCAGAGTGGCTCAGACCCCTGGCAGAACAGCAGTGACTGGCCACCCCCGATAATCAGAACAACTCAAGGCTTGTGAGTGCCAGGGGCCACATGATGATGTCCCCCCATGGGCTGCCTGAAATCTGGCCTGTAGCACTCCTGTTACAGGCCCTGCCTGCCCAGCTGGCTAACCGTGAGCACCTTCCACACAGCCATGCGTTAAGTTCCATCATCTGATCGCTTCAAAATGCTGGTTGCCAATCATAGATTTTTTCTTACAACATGGATTTTTGAGGACATGTTTAGCAAGAGGATTTATTAAAACAGGATCCATATAAAGGTAGAGACTATACTATTAGAAATGCCTCATTAATCTGTAAATTATAGAGGAATAAAATACTCCACTTCAGTGAATCCTTAAAGGCCCTAAAACAACCTCAGGATGCACCAAAACTTTATTTTACCGATTTTTGAAAAAAAAAAATTAAAAACAGTATGAATTGTTTGTAAAACAGAACACATTAAACATAATTCAAGATTTTCTTGCTTTTTCCATCATCTTTTTCCGTGCCGCCATCATGGTTCACATGAACGTCCCGGTAGATGCTCTCAAGAGCACTAACAATGCTGGAAAGAGAGGCGAAGGCCAGACTCTTACTAGGCCATGCTCCAATATTATCGTCGGGTTTCTAGTAGTAAGGAGGGCCTGAGGCTCTCCTTACTACTGGAAAACCGGCCCCTCGGACTGGTTAGACTGAGTCTAATGGGCAGTAAGGGTTATAGGACTCACAGGGCCTGGGGATCTCTTGTAAGAAAAGCTTTGGCATCAATGCTTTTGTCTATCAGCTGGGAAAATCATTGTCAACCTCACGGGCAGGTTAAACAAGTGTGGAGAGATCAGCCCCAGTTCTGATGTATAACTCAAAGATCTAGAAAAATGGCAGAATAATCTGCTCCCGTCCCACCAGTTTGGTTTCATTGTACTGACAAGCTCAGCTGGCATCATGGACCGTGAGGAAGCAAGATGAAAACACACAGGAGGGAAACTCCTGGGATTCTTTTTCTAGAGATGTAATATATATGTGTAAATAAAATGCCTCAATGGAAAAAAAAAAGATTTTCTTGATGTATTTCACATTATAGGGGTCAATAAAAATTACCATATAAATAAGAGATTTTAGAACATCAGTATGATAACTAGCTATGTCTCATGTCAGAATATAGCCATGTCTTCAGCATTACCAAGAAGCAGAAAGCTACTTTCCTCTATAATAATACCTCTACATAATATGCTTTTTAAATGTGTGCCTGACTTTTATGGTTGTTTCCTTCTCCATCTCTGAGGTCAGGGGTCTCTCCCTGTTGCTGCTGGTAGTAAAAGCAATAGTCCTGTGCACTTGAACCACCCACCCACCACACTTTCAGGTCCTGGGAAGCCTTCCTAACACGCTGCAAGGTGCCCCCCCATCTCCAATTTTATGGACAAAGAAACAGCGTCTGAGAGCCTAACATAGTCGTGACCCCACTTCCTGAGCTCTGTGTTCTCCCTGAAACCACGATTTTCTCTGGGCACTTTCTTCCTCCCATCCCACGCTGCTACTTACTGGAAAACTGGACCCTTAGACTGGTTAGACATGAGGACTGACAGGGCCCAGGGCCCTCCTATAAGGAAAGCTTTGGCATCAATGCTTTTGTCTATCAGAGGCCTTTCTTCCTTCCTTAAGGATTCCTGGTCATTTTCAAGGAGATGAAGTTACTGGACAAGACTTTGAAATAAAGCAGGTGTCAACATATTAAAGAAAGGTCCTTTAGTGTATATAAATCCAGTATGCATCTAGAGATAGTGACATGGAATTTTATGGTAAAAGCAGTAAGACTGTTGAAAATTAAAAATTTAAGGTATGTTAAATTGTAAAACTTCCAAGAATTATTAGGCTACATCAGCCTTTCTCAAAAGGGATTGTGAGAGGGAATTAAACCCTAATCTCTATGGCATCTACTGTATGTAATGAAGTAACTTCTCTTTCACGCTTCCAGAACAGACTTTGGGTGTTCCACCCTTGAAGAATTTAGAGAATCGTCACTCAAACGAGTTTCTGTGTTCTGTGGTTCTGACAGGAAACTCTGGATGAGAAAGGCTAGCTGAGACCCTGAGCCGAAGGACACGCCTCCTGGTAAGGTCTGGGACACTCTGTGAAGGGGCCAGAGAATTGACACTCTTAAGTGAAAAACTTCCTAATTTTTTCAGTAGTCTGACATGAAGAAAGTGAGGCATTAACTAACTACTTTTATTAGTGGCTAGGTTGCTGGCATAGCTTCATGAATGTCAGTGCGCACTCTTCCTTAGTTCTAGAAGCTGAATGATCTGTCCGCTTACCAGCTGCAGCTGATAGAGCTGGTTCAACATCGTCATATGCTGAGGATTGATTGGCGAGGTCAATAGTGCAGGGTTGAGACCAATGTTTTTTGCTGCAAACTGCAAAAGCTGTGCTTGAACCTGTTGAACACAACACAGAGCGTCAGGCACGGTGTCCCTGTCGAAATGGCCACCTGTCCAGGCAGTGTTTCCAAGATGCAGAACTGATGAATTAATGACAGTTATGCTTGTCTCAAGAATGAACTTCAAAAACCATTAAAAAACTCATGGGCTTTTTGCCATTAGTAGTTAACATGCTTCTGTAGAAAATAAGGAAGGAAGGAGAGAAAGAGCCTTCCACCTCCAAATGTTTTAGACACGAATTAAGATGCTAGGGCTCTGGGTAACTCCTATCGAAAACTGATCTCACATTCTGTCACAGTGAAAATAAATGGGCATAATTTAAGGACGGGAGATAGTGAATGTGGGGTTTCAGGGAAGAAGCCGCTCCTGCTGGCAGGCACCACGCCACCCCACAGGAGGGTCTCTGCCCAGGATGGGCTCGGGATGTGGTCTATGCCCCTCTGCCGGCCCTGCCCGGGACCGTCCATCTGCATTCCCGTTCAGGGGGATCTCTTCAACTGTAATTCACTGCGCTGAAACAATCTGGGGCCTGGCACTGGAGATTTCAATGTTTTCCACCATGGGCTATGTATGTTTATCACAACATTTATACAAGATGATTTTAGGTAGAACGTGGATGGGCTTCTTTTACTTTAATACTTGTCTAATGTGTATCAGAAAAATGTGATTTTTTTTTCTACTTATGATAGGTATGTAAAGTTTGCTTTAAGAACAGATTTATTTAAGCAGGCAAGTCATTTAAAGAAAACACACTGTGTAATAGTACAGGTAATGTGGGGCACAAGGGTGACACATGCTTTGCTGAGTGTGGGAAGCCTGCTGCCGGTCACCCAGGCTCAGCTCTCCTTCTGCCCCTCAGGCTGGGGTGGCTGTGTCCGCAGGCTCAGGCAGTGGGACACAAGCGGACGTGTTCTGTGCCGCTCCCAGCGATTGGGAAGGGCTGTGGCAGAGGTGCCCCACAGCCCTAAGCCGCTGCCTCCTGCACGGCCACCCAGAGAAGCAAATGCCTGTCCTGTCTAAGCCTCTGCACTCCGGGGTGTCTGGTATCGTGGCCCACCCTGTATCCTGATGAAGGAATTTAACTGTTGTTTCACCTACATTTCAGCCATCTCAACTCAGTGCACAAATCTGGGTTCAACCAACTGTGGAGGGTTAACTACTTCCAACTAATTCTATAGCTTATCATGTAATCTATTACTGAATATTTTTAAAAGGGATGAGGACTGAAACACTGTAAGGAAAAACTCAGTCCAAAGTGTAAAATTATGGAATGTTCTAAAAGTAAACACAATTAACACGAAAAAAGTCCAAATGCTTTAGAGCTATGCAAAACAAGATATCCTTTTCCTTTTCTGTTTGACACTTTTTTTTTTTTTTAAAGAATCTCTATGGGCAAAAACAGTCTAACACTAGGTAATAAACTTAACCTAGGAGCCAGCAATATATTAATATATAATATGATCTATGATCACATGCAGGTGGCCACCAAAGCATTCTTCAGGCCCTGAGTGCTCCTACGTGCCCCCTTACGGGTTAAGCAATGTTTCAGCTTGTCATTTTCCTCTCCTAGCCAGGACAATTCATCGGGTCCATCTGAATAATTCTGGTAAGACCTGGACAAGAAGTGCATTACAGTGCGTGGGAGGCGGATCTTTTCACCCAGCGGCATGGCTCCTGACCGGTGGACGCCTAGCCGGGCCGTGGCTGGTGGGGGCACCCCCAGGGGACGTTCTGAAAATGCCTCCCGCAGCCAGAGGACCGGTGGACGGGCGGAGAGGAAGGCCGTGCTTGGGGGTGGGTGAATGAACTGGCTCTCACTTTCAAACAGTGACGTCGAGCGGCACAGACACACACAACGCCCATCCGAGTCGCCGCGGGTCCCACCTGAGGGGATAGAAACGGAGGCACTTGAGCACGGAGGCTGGGCTGGGAGGAGCTCAGAGGCTGCACGGGGGGCTGCGGCGGCGGCTGCATGGTCCTGGCTTGCGCTGCTCCGCTGCTGCCGAACATACCCAGGCTGCCACTCGGCATCTGTGGGGAGATGGCACGGGCCGGGTCGCTACGGAGCCGGGCACCCCAGGAGCTCTGGAGGAGGCTCCGCCTTCCTAAATGCGACAGCAAAATCCTCCCTACTTCCTACTGCTGTCGACTTCTACCGAAGTGAACTCACAGTAAATGCTGCCGGGCAGGCTGACTGTGGACGACGACGGGCTGCCAGCCGTGAAGGCTGCCCATGTCTTCACACGACAGGGCCAGTTGGAAAGGGGCCCCAAACGAGGCTACCACGTCCACAGAAACTATCATAATACAGTGTTCCAAACAGCAATGCATGCCATGGGGTTCGGAAGCTTTTCTCACAGGCTATCTGTGGTGGGGTACGGAGCGCTAAGGGGTGGGGACTGCTAACCTGGAACCAGCAACATTTTCAAGTAGGAAACAGAAGTAGAATTTCAACCAAAGTGGAAGCTGAATAAATGGATAAATCCAGGTAGTTACCTTTGTGTTAAATACCATCAGTGCATTTTAGGTGTAATTTCTGCTCTGCTGCAGTGGGTGGGCTCGCTCCCAGCACCCCGCCCACCGGCTTGTTCGCTGTCCAATGGCAGAACCCCCGAAAAGCAGGCATTGCACGGAACTACCACCAGCATTAGCCACATGAGACCGCGGGCTGAGGCGCCACCGACTGCTACCCTAGGACGACAGGCGCACACGTGGCCCTAGTGGGCCACCCCGAACATCAGAGCGTCTACTTAAAGATCTGCTTCAGAGGTTGGTGTGTGTCAGCCTCACGTGCGAGCGAATCCATGAAAAGGACGTCCTACAGACGGGTCATGTCTTCCAGGGGGACTGGGAGACACAAGGGCCACGGAGCCGTGTTCAACACAAACTCGCAGTCCTCCCTTCCGTGACGCCTGACAGGGGCTCTCACCTCCCCCGAGGAGGGAAAACACCAGCGTGGCTCTCTGGAATCCACCGGGATGTCACCTCTATTTCAGGGAGCAGGGGGAGCACGTGGTGTTTTCTCAAAGACCACGGTATGGAAGGTTTGGACCACTGGTGCACAGGATGGCATCACCCGGATCCATGAAGGGACCTGGCAGCTGGAGACCACCCTGCAGGACGCACCGTTTAAAGCAGCAGTACTGAGCACTGAGGGCACTGAACTCAGGTGTGTGTTCGTTATGTGTAAAAACAAAGTCTGGGAGCATTTCCTACAACATGGTTCAATTTCAAGAACTGGATTCAACTCCCAACACCTGTACATCACCTGGAGGGAAATCCTTCTCCTATTTCAGCTACCTTAACATACTCGACTGTATTTTAAAGTACAGGTATTACTTAAAAATCAAAGTGTATGTCCCAAACACATTTGTTAGAGGCAGGTGAAACCGAGACCACACTGGCTCTCTCCCCACAGCCTTACCTGTCTAGAAGAATTCAAGTTTTGCATGCCCAGCCCTGAGGCAATCCCACCCAGGGCCTGATTAGGGAGTGCACTGTTTGAAAGGGGGAGCTTCAGGCTTGGTGAAGGCAAAAACGGTGAAGTCGTGGGCTCTTCCACTAGGCCGCCGTCCTGATTGGAGAAAGAGAGGGTGAGCTACGAGCAGTGTCCATCCACAGACAATGCACAAAGCAGTTTCCCAAGGACATATAAAGGGGTATGGATGGATAAAGAATTAAAAGATCAAAAAAGTGTGGGTAACAAGAGAATGGAGAACATGGGCCAAAGGAAGAGTGGAAAAGAAAAAGGGAAAGAGGATTAAGATGCTGTTCTCATAACCATTACTTCACAAACACATACATTAGCTTACAACGTGCTCAGACCCTGCTGACTCCGCCCGAGGCAGGGCTCAGGAGAAGCACAGAAACATTAGCAAAAGTCTTATTTGGAAAACACTATACAACCATTTTCAAATAAACAGGCTGCCTTCCTTCAGTACCAGGGCTCTAGGGGTACATTTGGTTGCATTCTGCTGCCACTCAGCTGTTTCATATGATTTAATCCAATAACAGGGTAAGTTATAAAGCAGACGGATCTTACTCTTTTACATTATTAAGGTCACATTATGTGTCAGACCCTTTGCAAATTTATCTCCTCTAACTCCACAACCAGCATGTAGTATCATTCTTCATTTCTTTTTTCTTTTTGTTGTATTAGTCTACATTTTAAAGATAAGGAAGTAAGTCAGGGTCCCGCACTTAGCAAGTTAAATACAAGATACCAAATTAAACTGGAATTTCACATAAACAACAAATAATATTTTAGACTAAGTGTGCTCCACCTATGACTGGTTGTTTATGTGAACTCCAAGTTCACTAAGGATCTTGGATGTGACCGGAGCCACAGCAGGGGGCAGGGCAGGACCTGACCCTCCCCCTATGCCCTCCCCAGCCACAGCTTTCTGGAGCGGAGTGTGTGGCAGAGGACCTGTTCATTTGTGAGCAGGTATGAAGTGTTATCTCTCTCTCCTGTGAGCCTTTCTGCTTTGTTGTGTTTTGTTTCTAAACCTATCCTTTCTTGCTTCAATTTTATTTTCAAGGTTCAACATTTTGACTGATTTTCATGGGATGCCGTTCTCCCCCTCCTTTTGAAGGCACACCCATCTGGAGAGGGGACATCAATACATGACAATCCTGAAGGGGCTGAACTGGTGTCTGGACACGTGGAACCACCCCAGGGGATTCCAACAGACACCTGCACGCTCTCTGAAGTGGCCGAGCTGGGCCGACTAGACACGGGTGCCTGCACCCAACCACTTCTAGTTTCTTTTTCCTCAGATTAAACATGTAACGCATCATTTCCAATGCCTTGTAAAATAAGACAGTAAAACAGAAATTTGATGACCCTTGTTACTGGACAAACTGAAGCAGAAAAGCCGGCCAAGTTCACCCACTAAAATGAAAATCAGTTTTCAATTTTGGTACTTTTTACCCCTAGCTACATCGTATGAAATGTAACAGTAACATTATTTCTTCTGAGTTAAACGTTCATATACATTTTTAAAAAGTGGGTAAAAGTCACTTAAATATTACATACAATCCGGCAAGTATTTAATCCAGCTTGGATTAAGGACATAGTTAAAATGAAAAATACCTCTTGTTAAAAATGAACAAACAAAACACCCCCTAAATTCATACCTTGTCGAGAAAGGTGGGGCGGTCCCCGGAAGAGTCTTTGGAGACTGGTGGGCGGCAGCCAAGGGCTTTGGTGACCACTCCATTGTAGTCGGTCACTCCCAGTCCACGCTTGTCCACGTCCACCTTCTTTTCCAGCAGGGCGCCTGGAGCAAACAGAAGCAACACTTCCACCTAAATGCCCAACGAGTGTCAGGAGTGATGAGCACCAGCTGGAGCCTCTCAACCCCATGGAAAACAGGGAGGCCATGGTTTTGCTCCTGCGAGCCCCACAGTCTATGACCAGGACCTGCTCTCGTCCCTGCTCCTGCTCCGCCCACTCCAATCCACCTGCCACTCTGCCCCTCAGGGGCCTGCCCTTCCTCCCCACTGGGATGCACCCCTTCCTTCACACAGCCTTCCCCGGTTGTGTTCCTGCCCTGATCTTCCTGTTTAAAATGGCACCGCTGACCCCTCATAGCCCTTGATTTCCACTTCCTGTATCCCCGTGAGCTACAAGGGCTCTTCCAGATACTGGGGACGCAGTATCATGTGAAAACAGGTAAGGTTTTTGTCCTCATAGGCTCTTGGGCTAGTGACTGGTTTGGCGTGGCTACCTTTGATTTTGTGCTATTTTATACTTCTAACAAGTTACAAATAACTTCTAGCTCACACGGATTGTCATTTCTTTTCTTTTTCTTTTTTTAAAGATTTTATTTATTTATATAAGAGAGAGAGAATGAGAGATAGAGAGCACGAGAGGGAAGAGGGTCAGAGGGAGAAGCAGACTCCCCGTCGAGCAGGGAGCCTGATGTGGGACTCGATCCCGGGACTCCAGGATCATGACCTGAGCCGAAGGCAGTCGCTTAACCAACTGAGCCACCGAGGTGCCCCCGGATTGTCATTTCTGTCCTGGCAGCTCGTACCACACATTTAGGCACCTGCACATTAACTACAAAGTTGGTCCTCATCATTCACAGATTCTGTGCTTGTGAATTCACTGGCTAGCTAAATTTATCGGTAGCCCCAAATCAGTAATCGTGGCACTTTTGAGGTCATTTGTGGACAAGCGCAGGGTGGTGGATCTCTGTGGCTTACTTACTGCTTGTTACAAATCCGTACCCTGAAACACCACCACTCATCTCCCCACCTGCGCTGCCAGGTAACCACCATTTGCTGTCTGGGCTTTACAGGTTGAATTTGGATAAATGCCACATATAAGTGAGATCATTAAGTACTTGTTTTTGTCCGACTTCACTCACTCAGCATCATGTGCTTAAGGTCTGTCCACGTTGGTGCAGATGGCAGGAGATCCTCCTTTCTCACAGCTAAATAATATTCCACTGTGTACATGAACCACATCCTTTTTATCCATTCATCTGTGGATGGGCGTTTGGGTTGTTTCCATACCTTGGCTATTGTGAATAATGCTGCGATAAACACGGAAATACACATAACCTGTCTAGATCCTGTTTTCATCCTTTGCGTATATACCCAGAACTGGAATTGCTGGATCGTACAGTGAGTCTACTTTACATTTTTTGAGGAACCTCCATATGGTTTTCCATACCAGTCGGACAAATCTACATTCCCCCCAACAGTGCACAAGGGTTCCCTTTTCACCATGTCCTCACCAGCACCCAAGTCCCTTGTCTTCTTGATGAAGAAAGCCATTCTGACAGGGATGAGGTGAGATTTCATTGTGGTTTTGATCTGCATTTCCCTGATGATGACAGATGCTTAGCACCTCTTTTGTGTGTCTGTTGGCCATCTGATCTCCTCTTTGCAGAAATGTCTACTTAGTTATTCTACCCATTTTCAATTAGCAATAATCGCGCCTCGAATAAACCTCATTGGCCATGATACTGCCACTGCGCAAAGCTTCTACCCATTTTAAAAACCATACTTTTTTGTTGTTTCAGTTGACTGAGTTCTTTATATATTTTGGATATTAACCCTTTATCCAACATATAGCTTGCAAAATTTTTCTCCCATTCTTTAGGTTTTTTTGTTTTTTCTTTTGCTGTGCAGAAACTTTTGGGTTTGATGTAGCCCCATTTGCTGATTTTTCTTTTGTTTGTGCTTTTGACATCATGCTCCCCAAATTATTGTTAAGACCAATATATTTTTTTTTAAAGATTTTATTTATTCATTTGACAAGAGAGAGACAGTGAGAGAGGGAACACAAGCAGAGGGAGTGGGAGAGGGAGAAGCAGACTTCCCACAATCAGGGAGCCCGATGCGGGGCTCGATCCCAGGACCCTGGGATCATGACCTGAGTCGAAGGCAGACGCTTAATGACTGAGCCACCCAGGTATCCCTGTTAAGACCAATATTGACAGGCCTCTTCTTTAAGTTTTTTTCTAGGAGTTTTATGGTATCAGATCTTTTGTTTAAATCTTTGATCCATTATTAGCTAATTTTTATGAGTGGTGTGAAACGGGTCCAATTTCATTGTTCTGCACGTTTCTCCATTTTTCCCCAACCACGTGTCGAAACACTATCCTTTCCCCATTGAGTATTCTTGGCTCCTTTGTTATTATGTTGACTGTATCTGATGGGGTTTAATTCTGAGCTCTGTTCTATTCCACTGGCTGATGTGTCTTAACTTTTTTTTTTTTAAAGTAAGCTCTAGGCCCAACATGGGGCTTGAACTCAAGACCCTGAGATCAAGTCACATGCTCCACTGACTGAGCCAGCCAGGTGCCCCAGATGTGTCTATTTTTGTTCTAGTACCGCAGTTTTGATTACTGTGGCTTTGTAGTAGTACAGTTTGAAATCCAGAAGTGTGATACTTCCAACTTTGTTCTTTCTCAGGACTGTTTTGGCTATTTGGAGTATTTTATGGTTCCAAACACATTTTAGGAATTGTTTCTTCTATTTCTGTGAATGCCTTCAGTTTTTTGATGGGGACTGCAATTTAACCAATCTTTACAATATTAGTTTTTTCAATCCATGAACATGAGATGCCCTTCCATTTGTTTGTATCCTCTTCAATTTCTTTCAGCAAAGTCCTGCAGTTTTCACTGTGATCTCTTACTTCCTTGGTTAAATTTATTCCTAAGTATTTTATTGTTTTTAATGCTATTGTGATTAGGATGGTTTTCTTTCTTTTTCAATGCTTCATCATTACTGTAAAGGAACGCAATCGATTTCTGGATGTTGATTTTGTATCCTGCCACTTCACTGAAATTGTTAATTCTGTTTTTTGACTGATTCTTTGGAATTCTCTCTCTATAGGATCATATCATCAGCAAAAAACGAGAATTTGACTTTTTCCTTTCCAACATGGATGCTTTTTTTCTTTTTCTTTGTCCTGCCTAATTGCCCTGGCTAGGACTTCTGGTACTATATTGAATAGGAGTGGAGAGAATGGGCATCCTTGCTTTGTTCCTGATTTTAGGGGAAACACTTTTAATTCCTCTACACTGAGAATAATGTTAGCTGTGGGTATGTTGTGTATGGCCTTTATTATGTTGAGGGACATTCCTTCTATACCCAGTCTGCTAAGTGTGTTTTTTTGTTTTGTTTTAAATCATGAAAGGATGCTGTGTTTTGCCAAATGTTTCTTCCGTATCTATTGAGATGATCACATGATTTTTATCTTTCATTTTTTTGACATTGATGTGTTACATTTATTGATTTGTGTATGCTGAAGTAGCCTTGCATCCCAAGTGTAAATCCCACTTGGTCATGGAATATAATCTTACTCATGTGTTGTTGAACTCAATTTGCTAGTATTTTTGTGGAGAATTTTTGCATCTACATTCATCAGGGATATTGGTCAGTTTTCCTGTGGTATCCTCATCTGGTTTTGGTATCAAAGTAATGCTGCCTGGAAGTGTCCCCTTCTTGATATTTTGGAAGAGTTTGAGAAGAACTGATGTTAATTCTTCTTCAGTATTTGGTAGAATTTCCGCCAGTGAGTCATCTGGTCCTAGAGTTTTCTGTGTTTAGATTTATTGACTGAATCTCTCTGTTTTAAAAGTATTTATTTAAGAGAGAGAGAGAGAGAGCACAAGCAGGGGGAGTAGCAGAGAGAGAGGGAGAAGCAGACTCCACGCTAAGCAGGGAGCCCAACGCAGGACTCCATCCCAGGACTCTGGGATCACGACCTGAGCCAAAGGCAGACGCTTAACTGACTGAGCCAGCCAGGTGCCCCAAAAGTAAGGTTAGTTTTATGGCCTATCAGGATCTATCTTGGAGAGGCACTGAGTTCAAGTCCCATATTTGGTGTAGAGATTACTTAAAAATAAAACCTTTAGAGAAAGGGCGGGGGGATCTATCCTGAAGAATGTTCCATGTGTGCTTGAAAAACGTGTATTCTGCAGCTGTTGGATGGAATGATCTGTGTATGTCTTTATTTTTAAAGATTTTATTTTTTTTTAATTTTATTTATTTGTAAGAGACAGCAAGAGACCACAAGAAGGAAGAGCAGCAGGCAAAGGCAGAGGGAGAAGCAGAGAAGCAGGCTCCCCGCCCAGCAAGGAGCCCGATGTGGGACTCGATCCCCAGACTCTGGGATCATGAACTGAGCCGAAGGCAGATGACTAACTGACTGAGCCACCCAGGCATCCTCTGTGTGTGTCTTTTAAGTCCATTTGCTTTAAAGTGTGGTTCAATTCAATTTTTCCTTGTTGGTTTTCAGTCTGTATGATCTATCCATTGTTGATAGCTGGGTATCCGACATCTCCTCTAATTACTGTAATATCTATTTCTCCCTTATGATCTGTTATTAATTACTTAATGTACTTCAGTGATCAGGTGTTGAGAATGGATGTATTTTTACAACCATTACATCTTCTTGATGTATTGACCCATTTCATCATATAAATACCTTCTTTGACTCTTGTTACCCATTCTGGCTTTAAGTTTATTTTGTCTGGTATCGAGTACGGCTATGCTTGTCTTCTCTTTGTTTCTGTTTGCTTGGAATACCATTTTCCATCCTTTCAACGTGAGCCTGTGTGTGTCTTAGAGCTGTAATGAGTCTCCGGTAGGCAGCAGAGAGTTGGGACTTGTGGCTTTAATCCATCCAGTCACTCCGGGCCTTCTGATCGGCGAGTTCAGTGCACTGACGTTAGGAGAGATTACTGACAGGGCGCCTGGGTGGTGCAGTGGGTTAAGTGTATGACTCTTGATTTCGGCTCAGGTTGTGATCCCGGCCTGTGGGATCAAACCCCACTTTGGGCTCCACGCTCAGTGTGGAGTCTGCTTGAGATTCCCTCTCTCTGTCTCTCTCTGCCCCTCCCGCTCGTGCTCGTTCTCTAAAATAAATAAATAGATCTTAAAGAGAGAGAGAGAGATTACTGACATGTAAGGACTTAACTGGTGCCCTTTTATCTTTTGCCTTCTGGTTATTCTATCTCTTTAGTGTTTTTCCTTCTGTCCCTGTCTACCTTTGTACATTGGTGGTTTTCCACTTTCTGTCTCCCCTTTTTGTGTTTTGTGTCTCTGTTCTGGATGTTTGCTTCGTGGTTACCATGAGATCTACATTAAACATCTCACAGATAGAATAGTCCTTTTCCTGCTGACAGCAATTTCTCTTTGTTGGCTTATAAAAGTTCCATCCTTTTGCTCTTCCCCTTTTATATTTTTGATGTCACAAATTATCTCTTTTTTGAACTGAGATTGTGTTACCAAGTTGTAGTAGCCATAGTTATGTTTAATCTTTTCCTTTAACCTTTATGCTGTAGTTAAGAGTTTAATATACCATTCTAAAACACAGTGATAGTTTTCCAATTCTGACTGTCGCCTTTAGTTATTACTACTTTTAAAGCAGCTCCAGAACGAGGGCTGCTTGTTCTTGAGGTAAATCTCATCTCTCACACAGACCAAGCGCTCCACCGGCACAGAGACATCTCTGCTGGTCCCTGAGCAAGCCTATTCTGGGGCCGGGCGTGAAGAATGGGCCCAATCAGTGTCAAATGAAGTCTGGCCTGTGGTCCTAGTGTCTTTCTCAAAGAATGTCACTATGACCTCTCCTCAGAATGGATGGAAAAACTCATCTATTTGTTGAAGTACTAGAAAAAAATGAAAGAAGCAAACATGCCTCCATGTGGGGTTTGGCCATTCGTCCTGAGACCACCAGTCTCCAGAGACTTGTTGTGTGGTTACTGCACATCATGTGGTTACTCCTTTGCCAAAGCCTGGTCCTGTCTACCCAGTACATATTCCACATTAACCCAAGACTACAATGAAATGTTTCTGGAAATCCAAACTCCACACGCTGGTACCTTTTAAAAAGGTGTGCTTTAAGTGTGCATCATGTTACTTACTCATGGCCTGGTCAAGATTCATATTGTTACTCTTCAAGGCCTCTTCAGCTGGCTCTCTCTGTGTAGGAAAATAAGAGTTTTAGTTAGGATTATGCTTTTATAATAACAAAAAAGCTAGTAAAGAGTTCTATCCCTATTAGCTTAGAGAAATTATTATTGTTGACCTAACAATGACCTAATATTACCCTATATTACTAGGTTTTGGAACTGGGAATACTTCTCTTTGTTATTGAGGCTAGAGACAAAGGTCTTCTAAGTAAAAGGCACTCAGAATAAAAACATGTATTGAATTGACTTTTAAAGAATTTATATTTAACACTTTAAAAACAAAATGTACAGTGCCCGTGGAATCTTGTCATTGATTCTGTACAAGTAGCAACCACCAAGCAAAGGTGAAATCTCCACCAGGACAGTTTTGGGGAAGTTACTGTAGGAGTTAGAGCACAGAGCTTCATTCTCTACTTTATGGACTCTGGGCTTTGCTGTCAACTATTTTTCACTAAGAAACGTAAAAACAAATCAAATCAAAACAAGTAGGTTCATTTTCGTAACTATCCCTATGATGGGAACAGATACATGTCAGCATGTGCAGACACCACAGTAGAAATGGGGACTCCTGGGAAGGCCTCCGGTGTCCCGCCTGTCGTCTCATACGGGAAGAGGCTGGGCCACCCCTGGGTCTGTGCCCTGCCCAGTGTCAGAGGGCCTGGGCCTGCTATGAAGTATACAGTTTCTACAGGGGCTATGCTGCACTCATTCTTTAGGGACATTCACAGTAATCAAAAGATAAATATTCGCTTGAGTAATGATCTGGAAAGAAGACCTTTGAAGGGAATATGTAACAGATGCAGGTGATATCCACACTATCTGAACCCCTGCATTCGATCTCAGGAACTGAACACATCAGGACACATTTTCAGAGGGTCATCCTGCAATGTGAGCTCTCCCCACCCAGGACCTGAGACTCAGATCCTACTCAATAGGCTTGGTGAGGATTCTTTTTCTGGACACAGAGCTTTAGTACTTTATACCAAATTTTCTCTTGTCATCTGTCAATCTACTGCATGAACTAATGAAAATTCACTTTTAATTATAAATTAAAGGAAAGTATGAAACTGTATAAGCCAATGAAAAGAACAATCACACAGCATGTTTTATTCCAGGAAAAGGCTCTCACACCTTACTTGATAGAAACAGTGTGGATCCTTGCTGTAGCTGAAAGCAATGCTCCCTAAACAGAAGTGCTCGTGTGAAAGGGGAATTTACAAATTAGGTTGTATGAACACTCTCCTCCCTCAAAAGTCTTCCTTCCTCGTTACGCATGACAAACGCGGACAGGACACAATCAGGGCCATGCATGGCAGCACACACGGAGGGGAGTGGTAAAATAAGACACCAGTCACCGGGAAGCCCATGTCTGTGAGTTGTTTCATCAGCCGGCTCATGATCCAGGCCTCGTCCTGCTTGCCAGACGTTTTCATGCCCTAGAATGAAGTATGGGTCACATTTTAATGCATTTCTTCTAGAAATGGGAGATGCCTAAAATTCCCAGTGACTTAAAAGTTAGAGAATCTTCCTGTATTCACGTTGAATAATGCTGTGCGCCAGAAAGTCCCTGACTCTGGTTCATGGCTAGTTACTATGGAATGCTTTAGGGTGCATTGCAAGTTGGCATGTGTGTGTAATTTATGGACTTTATTTTTTTAAAGATTTTATTTATTTATTTATTTGTCAGAGAGAGGAGAGAGAGAGAGTGCGTGCACAAGCAGGGGGAGAGGCAGGCAGAGGGAGGAGCAGACTCCCCGCTGAGCAGGGAGCCTATGTGGGACTTGATCCTAGGATCCTGGGCTCATAACCTGAGCCGAAGGCAGACACTTAACCCACTAAGTCACCTAGGTGCCCCAATTCTCTTGCTTTTTTAAAGTCCATAAATTAGGGATGCCTGGGTGGCTCAGTCAGTTAAGCATCTGCCTTCGGCTCGGGTCATGATCCCAGGGCCCTAGGATCGAGTACCACGTAGGCTCCCTGCTCAGCGGGGAGTCAGCTTCTCACTCTGCCCCTCTCCCCACTCATGCTTGCATGCTCTCTCTCTCTCTGAAATAAATAAGATCTTTAAAAAAAAGGCAAGAGAATTATTTTTCTTTCCCAGAGAATTTAGTTCATCACAAATATGTGCCACTTCCATTATCAAATAATCGTAAGTGCTCCTCGGAACATGGCCCTACGCTAATACTATGTGAAGTTTACGAAAAATTTTACGTTTTCTGCCATTTTATTAGCTTTACTGTAAAAGATGACAAATGCAGGGGTTTTGTTCCAACAGAATGAAAAGGAACAACAAGCCTGTTAATTTTACTGACTTCTCACGGCTTGCAGCCTTTAGGGTGGAGAAGTAAATGGGCAAACATCAGTGAGGGACAAGATGAAGAGAAAAGGAGAGAGCAAGCGCAGGGCAGAGGAGGGGAGCGCAGGGCAGTGCAGAAGGGCTGAGCGGGGATGTGAACCATTTTCCCGGTAATTTCCCTTCTATTCTCACAACCACGAAGATTCCAACCATGTGTTAATATAGTAGGAAAAACATCCTCCTCTAAAATTATTCTTCACAGTGCTTTTCGGAGTTGAGCCTGCCCTTAACTACAGAATGGAGCATATGGGGCAATATGAAACTAGCAGGCGCTCTCTCCTCGAGGAAGCAGCTTAATCGGAGGCTGCGGGAACTACTGTTGCCCTGCCAGGGCCAGAGCTGCTGGGATTACACAGTATTTTAATTTTCCAATTTGGTATTTCTGGTCCCATCATTAATTGGATTATCTGCCAGTCCGATTGTAAAAAGATTCCTTTTTGAAGTCCGTAATCACTTCTACTCCTAATGATTTTAGTTTCTGGGTTCTGCTTACAGCTAATTGAATGCTTTGTTCAACTGATTTTTTTTTTTTTTGAACGGATAATACCTTCATAATACCTTCAGAGCATTTGAAAGTAGAAAAAGGGTATACGCCAAAGCATCTTCTTCCCACCCGCTCCTCCATCCGCTTAGCTCTTGCTCTCCCCAGGAAGAACGCCCCCTTCACACACATGCCCTGCCCCCAGAGGAGGTGTGTACCGCACACAGTTTTCTGTCCCTTGGCTTTTCATTTAACAATATACTTTGGTGATCTTTTCATACGAATAGATACCGAATTTCTGTTTAACGATCTATTTGGCTCTCCCCCGTGTGGATGCGGTACAATCTAACTGCCACCCCACTGATGTGCATTTGAACCACTGTTTTATTTGACTGCAGACGCGCGCCAACAGCGAGCGGCGCACAAACGCCCTCTGCAATGCCCGGGCCAAGTGTGAGCGCCGCACCCACGTGCTGACATATCTGCAACCAGGACAGAGGGCGCCAAGCTGCCCTCCGTGCGGCTTATGCTGCTTCACATTCCGACCAGCAACAGACCAGGGTGCCGGTTTTCTCACAGCTTTGTTGACACAGCCCATTTGTGAGACGTGTGGATTTCCGCTGGTCTGAGAGATGAAAACTGGCATCTTTGGTGTTATTTTATTTGTTTTTTTTTTTTTTAAGATTTTATTTATTTATTTGAGAGAGAGAGAATGAGAGACAGAGAGCACGAGAGGGAAGAGGGTCAGAGGGAGAAGCAGACTCCCTGCTGAGCAGGGAGCCCAATGCGGGACTCGATCCCGGGACTCCAGGATCATGACCTGAGCCGAAGGCAGTCGCTTAACCAACTGAGCCACCCAGGCGCCCATTTTATTTGTTTTTTAAAAAGATTTTATTGCGACTGCCTTCGGCTCAGGTCATGATCTTAGAGTCCTGGGATCGAGTCCCCAGTCAGGCTCCCTTGCTCAGTAGGGAGTCTGCTTCTCCCACTCCCTCCGCCTCTCCCCCAGCCTCATCCCCTGCTTGTGCTCTCTCTGTCTCACAAATAAGTAAGTAAAATCTTAAAAAAAGAAAAAAAGAATTATTTGAGAGAGAGCGTGGGGGCGGGGGGGAGAAGAGCAGAGGGAGAGGGACAAGCAGACTCCACACTGAGCGCAGAGCCCGACATGGGGCTGGATCCTATGACCCTGAGATCGTGACCTGAAACCGAAATCAAGAGTCAGACACTGAACCGACTGAGCCACCCAGGCGCCCCTCGCAGTGTTGTTTTAAATTGAACTCTCTTTCCGTAAGAAAACAGGCTGAACACCCTTTCATATGTGTAAGAGCTGTCTGCATTCCTTTTCCAGGGACCATCTATTTATATTCTTTGCACCTTTTCCTAGTGGGTTACTAACTGATTTTTTAAAAAATCAGTTTCTAGGACCTTTCTTTATATATTCGGGAGATCAGCTCTCTCCATGCTAGCATACAAATTTTTTTTTCCAGCTTGTTATTTGTCTTTTGACTTTTGGTATTTTCTGTCATGCACAGTTTTCACGTGTATCTACTGATTTGTAAGTCTTTCATTTGATGGCTGTTAGATTTTGGTCCCACTTCAAGACTTTCTCAAATTCTTTCCCATTTTATATTTTTATTTATCATACTTAAATTTGTGATCTACTTGGATTTTATCTTGGTGCATATATGAGTGGTGGATCTCAATTTTTCCAGATGGCCGCCTGTTTGCTACAAGACGACTTAATGGTCTACCTCAGGAGTTTCAGACTTAACGGTCTGAGGACCAACCACATTACCCTCTCTTAAAGATTGAGGATTCTAAAGAAATTCTGGTTATATGGGTTGAATTTATCAATATTTACTGTATTAGAAATTAAAACTGATAAATTTAAAAATACTTTAATTTGTTTAAAAATTACAATAATAAACCCATTCTGTGTTAACACCAATAACATTTTTTTAATGGAAAATTATATTTTCTAAAACAAGAACTTTTAGTGAGAAGAGTGGCACTGTTGTACACGCTTGCAAATCTCTTTACTGTCTGGCTTCTTAGAAGCAGCTGGATTCTCATGTCTGTCTCTGCCTTTGCTTTGCTGTGACAGTAATGCCAGGTAGTCTCTGGAAAACTCCAGCCTTCACTCAGGCGAGACCCCTGACAAAATCTCAGGGTCTTCCAGAAGTACCCACAGCACTCAAAAAACTCCTGGTCTACCAGTCATCATTAACTGGAGATACAACCTCTACCCTGAATGTGTTTTTAAGTACCACTGATTTTTACAGTTTCCTTTCTTTAGTGTTGCACACACCTTTGGGAGTCCTTTTTTGGGGGCGTTCCCCCAGGAACTGCAGGAGGAGGTGCTTTCTTGGGAAGCAGCATTATTCCACATGCCCCCTTCTTCATCTTCCCACTGACTGGTGCCAAGGTTCATGTCGTCCCCACCACTGCCCCAGCCTTCTTGCATAGATTTTGAAGCTAGAAAGAGAGCAAACATGAACTTACCAAACTCACCTTTCCTAAAGCAGATGCTGTATTATAACATCATTTAGGGGAAGGTGGGACAAAAGGGGTGTATTGTAATCTACCTTTTCACTACTTCGTTTCCCCAAGACCTAAGAATTGAATTTCTTGAGCTAGTTACAGAATACATATGCAAATGTGTATATATTTTTTTCTTCAAGCTCCAGCTGTTTGTCGTCTGTGCTGTTACAAACTCCCTTAACCGGCTAGAGGTGATTTTGAAGCGTGGACTTTCTAACAATAAATCCTGGGGGCTATACAGGAGAAGGTGGCAATGTCTGCATGGTATGAAATGGCCAGTAAAATGCAGAGTCCTAAAAAATACCACTGTCTTCCATGTGGGTTTTTTTTTTTTTTTTTTAAGATTTATTTATTTATTTATGAGAGAGAGAGAGAGAGAGAGAGTGAGAGAGGGAACACAAGCAGGGGGAGTGGGAGAGGGAGAAGCAGGCTTCCCGAAGAGCAGGGAGCCCGATGAGGGGCTCGATCCCAGGACCCTGGGATCATGACCTGAGCTGGAAGGCAGATACTTAACAAATGAGCCACCCAGGTGCCCCGTCCATGTGGTTTTTGATTACCACTTGATCCAAACCTGCAGCAGTATGCGGACTAGTGCTCCTTCAATGTGACCAGCCACGAGTCACCTGGGAATCACGAGAAACGCACAGATCTGTGGTTGGGCCCCATAGTCTGTTTCTGACAAGCTCCCAGGGGATAGTCTCAGAACAACAGGATGGAGACAGCTGAGGCCATGGGCAGATGGAGCCACAAGCTGACTACTGAGTTTTGATTTCAGGATATTATTTTTTCTACTTTTTGAAGATATAAAGTGATTTTGGATATAAAAGTTACCCCAAATTTTCACTTCCTGGGAGAAGGTGAAAAAGGCCAAAGATTAAGTGATAGTACAGTTAGCTGGAGTCTGTAAGACTATGAAGATATGATGCTTTTTCAAGGCAGACACGTATATAATAATGCCTCCAAGTTCAAATTATAAAAACAAATATATCCCCTCAAGGTGACATGTGAATCTAAGTACCTCTTTATTCTTTAGATTTGTATCAAGAAAGTGTATGAATGGAATAAATAATCCAGCAGAATGGCAGATATACAGAACACACTATCCAGTGTTAGCAAAGTAACAAACACAAAACTAATGCAAAGTGCAATAGCAAAAATATAAAATGAATAAAGTTGCATTTTAGATCTAAGACATTTAATGTTGTCCAAAGAAAATACGAAGCTTTTGCAGCCATGTGAACAACTGATCTTATTATCAGACTTAAATCACAATCTTAGGTTCACGCTAATGTCCTACATATAGCATTGTCAAATTCCCATACGTCACAGAGCTCCACTCGGTGAATGCAATGTGGACATCTGTGAGAATGAATGTTTCACAGGTGTACTTATTACACTTCCAGAGAATGGGAGGACGATGCAACCAAATGTTTGTTTCCTTTTCATCTAAAAAGAAAGGAAAGGAAAGGAAAAGGAAAAGGAAAAGGAAGAAAGAAAAGAAAAAGCGTCAGCCTGGAGCACCCAAAGTAGAATTGTGCTCACAAGACGCAAGCGAGGCAGGAAGGGCCGAGCGCTGTGCAGTACTGTTGCAGGTCTCAGGAAGGAACACTGGCATGCTTTCTTTCGTCCAGCCGCTCAGGGAGGCAGGAGCGGAGGGCAGGCACAAGGACACTGCTGCGGCGCGCGCACTACTCCCGGTATCTGGCTCACACACGGTGTGGTTTGGATTCTGGTAACTAATTTTTTTTTTTTTAAAGGAGAGCATGGGCTCCTGTTAAGAGCTCCTCTATGTCCCTGTACCAGACGCAGCAAATATGTTAGTCTTAAAGTACAAATAAAAGGAGTAAAGTGTCCTAAACCTTGAATTCTTAAAATTCAACAGAAAGTATCCCTCTCAAGAAAATAGCCTGACCCACTTCTCAAGCACTGAGTCAGGCTTACCTGGTTTGCACAGGGCTGGGGTGGCGGTGGGGGCACTGGCTCTCCCAAATGTCACCGGTGGCTCCGCGGGCTGGTCCCCCCATCCGCTGCCGCTGCTGGGCGGCTTGCCCCATGCTGCGGTTCCGTTGTCAACCAGGGCGGAGGGGGAGGACGGCTCTCCCCAAGAGCTCTCAGCCTTTGAGTGGACATTAGGCATCTCTCCCCAGCCCGCTGAGACTGCAAAGGGCACCGACCGAGAGAGAACAGAGTTTAAGAGTGAAACAGAGGAGAAGTAGAAATGGGCATTTCAAGTTCAAAATAACTTCAAAATGATCTGTCTTTAGGATGGCTTTGGGGGAAAGCAGAAAGGAGGCAGTATCATATCTAATTGGATTTGTTTAGCTTATTAAATTCCCAGTGTTTTCACTCCTGACCGCCACCCACTTAAAATCGAGAGCCCCTTAAACACTGAAGACTATTGAGCTCACAGTATCTGCAACATAACAGGGTTTAAAAGAATACTTTAAGACTCATATTTAAGAAGCAGCTTTTACACTTCTAGTATTACATGTAACCTAGAAGAAATTTTATGTTACATATTCTCTTATAAGAAAAATGTGTAAGTTGCAAATATACACTGAAAAGCATCCTAGCTTATCTTTGACCGACCGTCAAAGACAGAGATCTGGGCAAGGCCACGAGAAGACGGGCAGATGAAACATGTATAGGAAAGCAGTGACAGGAAATCCAGATGGTTCTCAGGCAGCACCCGGGAGCTGTGAAGGAGCGGGGGCAGGCATTTGTCTTCAGGACGGGAAAGACGAGAGGATCGGGCAGGAGGACTGCACGGGTCCTGGAACACTTCCTTCCCTCGTCTGCCCAGTGCTGTGGCCAGAGCATCCTGACCCCTGGGGCTGGCACCTGACGAGGGTGCGCAATGGGGTCCAGAAGGTCATGGCATTGCTCTTACATGCACAGGAGAGGTCATGGGGCCAGGCAATAAGAAGCATCTCGCCAGTATCTTTACACTTCAGCAAGAGAAACATTTTACATTACATACGTACACTTCATCTTCCCAAATCAATCCACACTTCACTTTGCTTCTGCCTATAAGCTTACTCGACACTACTGATAACTATATTGATAGCTCACATCAGTTGTAATTTTCATATGGATACAGTTTCTCAGAGATGGAAATGTGAACATTTTAAATACTAACTAAAGAATAGAGAGCATACAATACAGTTAACTGTAAATTTTAAATAATTTGGTTGCAAAATGGATATTACCATCAATTATGGAATTTATTACTTTTCTGACTAAAATAGTATGGAATCAGCTCCCCTGATGCTCTTTATTCTAATAAAATGCAGTAATATTGATTAATGGCAAAAGACCATGCAACCTATGAATCATTTTAAATTACAAGCTCCATGCTGAGCAATATATTATGTAAATCATTGCCAATAACAGGAAAGTTAGCCCTAATCAGTTATTGTCAGCAATCACTAACTATAATATTCCCTATAATTACACAGAAAACAATGTATACTGGGGAAAGTAGTTTTATAAATTTAAGGGACAAAATTAAATCAGGAAAATTAACATAGCTGACAAAAATTATGGATGTTTTAAGAAGATAAAATAACTTAGGTGTTGCTAATGGTCAATCAGCTGTAAAAATACTGATTTATTGTAGGTAATTAAATAACATACTCACTTAAAATCTGTCATCCTTATACTTCCATCTTTTTGAAAGGCAATACTACAAATGATTTAAGTAAGTCAAAACTAAGAATAAATATTAAGACTATGGTAATTATAATTAATCGATTTTTATAAAGCGTTTTCAATTCCTGTTAAAGCAATGGAAATGTCTACAGAGTATGTCTATACACAAGGCAAATGATCTGCAAGCAGCATGTTTCAAAATTTTACAAATGGAAGAATAATTTTTTTACCCCCAAATCAAGAGAACAGTATTTCCTTTTTTTTTTTTTTTTTGTGGTGAAACTAGAAAGGAATTTATTTCAGTGACGCCAACACCAGGAAGCCAGCGGACTAGTGTCTCAAAGACTATTTCCCCAACAACATTTCCATTTTAAGTTGATCTCTGGCAAGCATATAATTTACCGATAATGCCGAACACGCACACATCAGAACGCGTGCACCGCGGGATACTTGAAAGGCCCTAGAGGAAGAGATGCTACAACCTTGAGGCACAACAGCTGATTCTGATTCAAAGCAAAAACTTCCAGTAGACAGAAAATAACTGTAAATACATACTATTAAAATAATCTACAACATTTAATGTTTATTGCTGGTGTGAATTTTGGTAAGCTTTTTGTTAAAGATGGGCTTAATGAGGCAGAAAAAAAAATCTATCTTACATTTAAAAGGATATCAACATTTTTAAAATGGCCCTTCAAATGCTACTGCTTTTGACAAAATGTTTCTGTGGCCTGGGGGTCGGTCCAGGAATTCTTGTCTCCCTTTTCCAACTGAACAAATACTGTACTAGGACTGAAATAACAATGAAATGCCACTAGAATATGTAGTTTTCATTCAATTTTAAATACACTTTATTTATCAGAATGGAGAAAACAAAGTACCTAGGTGGTAGACACCATGAAGATCAATGTAAAAATGAACACAAAGCAGTTCTAAGGCCAGGACTGACATCAAGAGGCTCCACCTGACCCATGATCCCCATCTTAAACACTCCAGATGGTCAAATTCATGGATGGAGTTCTTTCTTTTGTGAAATAAGAAATCAATTCTAGCTTGTTCCATAGATGCTACCTGTATAATTTTATGTGTGACAGGCAATCCTTGCTGGGAAAAGTTCGGTCAGACAATGGCCAATCATAACTGAGTGCAGGAAAGAGAAAAGCCTGACACTGCATCGACAAGGCATCTGAGTGTCACCTGTGTGCTTGGCATTTTCCATACTGACTTAAATAGTAATGGGATGGGATTTTGTTCATACCAATGGCCTTTATGCCTAATGTACACTTATTATCATGCTTTCATGCTTGGTTGGCTACTGGCTTATGGAGGGACAGAGCAGAACTGGGAGCTGTAGCAATAATTACTTTTTCATATTCGAAATCAAAAGCGGTATTTACCTAGTGAAGCTTTATACAGAGTAGTTTTTCTCAGATGGTCAAGTACCCTACTTTTCAGAATGCCTCGTTTCGTGAGCATTTATTTGAAGCTTCTCTTCCAAACTCAGGGGACTCTACAGGAGGGTTACAGATAAGGTCCTTTTTCAAAAGCGGGCCCTGTGGCCTCAAACTACACAGCAACTGCTCAGAAGAGCTGCTTTTGCCTGTCTTATGGGCCCATCACAGACGGTCAGTATTGGAAAGAAAACTTTTAGTTTTTATTTGAGGGCACTAAGAGAGATTTTAAATGTGCCCTTTCTTATTGATATATGGGGGAACCAAACTGTATTTTTAATGGTCTTAGTTATTCATTTTGAACTGAAGGTTTTGCCTACAGCAAAAACTTCCGTGTGTACCCGCAGGACATGCACTGATAACCATCTCCTCCCACCTCTCCAGCAGGACACTTCCGATGCTCTCGTTCTCTTTCCGCTCCAGACCCTCTTACCAAGTCCCCCAAAACACTGGAAAGTAAAAACACTCTAACCAGTCCCCCCCGCCCCCACATTCCCATATCCACAAAAAGCAGGCTGCTCAGATGACTCCTCTTAGTAACTACTGTGTGGTGCTTAAAATAGAATTACTCCGGCTGGAGAGGTCTGGGAGATCTATTTCTGAAGTTGCAGTGTGAGAACAGTTGAGCTCTTGGCAGCATCTTGCTGATGCACTCTGTCGGCAGGTAACTCCATTTTTTGGTATCGTTTTTGTACCAAAGAATGATAAAGGAGCAGGGGAGCTGCTAGGACATTAAGTCCTGCAGGTAGGACAATGTTCTCCCGCTTCTGCTCTTAAGGAAACCTGGAGAAACAACATACGTGGTTTATCAATCTAGGCAGAGGATTCAGTTTATCAGATGGGTGATATGCCTCTTCCATAATTAACTCACACAATCTCTGCCTTTGGTTATAATATTTGTGCCAGAAAACTAAGTGATAGAGCAAACATAGTATCAGTGGATTAAGTACCCAAATGTAAAGTCAAGTCTGACTCTGGTTGGAGCTTTCTCTAAACCGCACAGGGCAACCACAGTGATTGCCTTGGCACTGCTGCAATGCCCAGTGAAGGCGAGAAGTGCCTGAGAAGCTGGGGAGGAAGAGGTAGTAAAATGGATAAAACGATATTCTGGAGTCAGGTCAACATTAGCAGTACAGTCCCAGTGTACCGACTGGCCTATGAAAGTGATGCTCTCACTTCGGTCATCGTTGGAAGACACAATCCCAGGCAGGATTTTATTTTTATGACCACACTACGCTGCTGGTTTAGCTTGGATCTCGTCTATAATGGCCTTCCTATGTGACTCTAAATTAACTGTATGTGTAGTGCTGTCTACTCTCCGACCCCTCAGTCGCTTTCAAAGTCATCTGTCTCAATGTCTCAGTGAAACCTGACAGAGTTCACCGTGAGGTTCTCCCTCAATCTCACTGTTCGATTCAGAGCCTACAGGGAGGATCTGGTTTTCATCAAAAGTTGTATTATTTACTATTTAGTGTTCTCCTGTGTCTGCAAACCGATTGTTAAGTGTCAGGATATTTATTTCTAAGTGTACCAATCAGGCTGGTTAGTATTTTTAGGATCCACTTTCATTCCCTCAGAAACAGAAGTAAATGCTATGCTTGCACTTCCTCACTTTTGGCCACATCTCCAGTAACTGTCAAAACAACAGACTGGTTCTCCAAGACTTGATAGCTCCTTGCCACATTAGGCCACAAGTCAGCGGGTCCTGCACATCTGGCCCACATTCACACGAAGTCACTGGGGCAACGTTAAGGAGCAGGTACTGTGTCGCACCATCGTATACAACCCGACACCCCATGTTAAGAACAGCCCCATGAGTTTTTCTCAGGCAGCTTACCCTCTCTGACCAAAAGACAGGCACAGGGACATTTCTCTAGATTACTGTGCTCTATCTCCCAAATGGGTTCGAAGCAGGTCCAAATAATCCAGTTTATGAAGCTATACTGCATTTCCTAAATTACTATCAGTTTTCCTCAGGCTTATCAGAAAATGAATTGATATCAATATAACAGGAATGGGACAAAAATAACTGTCCTATAGCATTTACTTCTATAA